ATTTGTGAGGACCTCCGAGAGGCTTCTAAACGGTTCCGAACGGCTTACGAGGGCTGCCGCAAGGCCACTGAGAGTTTCCGAAAAGCCTACGCGAGCCTCCGAGAGGCCCTGAGAATTCCTGACAAGGTTTCTCGAAGCTCCCGAATGGCTGTTGAGACACCCCGGCAAGCCTTTGAGAGCTTCCCAGAGGTTTATGCAAAGTACCGAAAGGCCCTGAGAGCTCTCGACAGGGCCTAAGATCTCCCGAAGGGGGTTCTGTCAGCTTCCGCAGAGGTATCTGAAACGTCACGAGAGATCTCTGGGAGTTCCCGAGAAGCCTCTGAGATGTCCTGCGAGGCCTCTGAGAGCGTCCGAGGAGGCCTCTGAAACTTCTCGAAACCCCTTCTGAAAGACTCCGAGAGGCTTCTGGTAGTTCCCCAGAGGCTCCTGAGAGCCCCCGAGAGGCTTCTGAGAACGTCCAGTCGGCTTCGGAGACCTCCGAGTGAGACCTCAAAAAGCTCCCGAGAGGCCTCTGGGATCCCCCACAATTCTACGACGCACAACACAAACAACACACACAACACACAACACTCACAACACACGCACACACAACATGCACGATGCACACACAATACACAACACACAACACAAACACAAAACACACAACACACAACACACACACACATCGCAGAACACATAACACACCACACACAACACATCCAACACAACACACCACGCACAACGCACAAGACAACACACAACACACACCACACAACACACCAGACACAACACACCGCGCACGACGCACCAAGGGCCAACAGGGCCTCGCACAGTTTAGCAGAGCTCAGCATAGCTTAGCAAGGCGAAGCATGGCTTACCAGAGCTTGCAGGGCCCAGCAGAACCCAGCAGGGTTTAGCAGAGCCCAGCAGGGCGTAGGAGGGCTTACCAAGGCTCACCAGCGCTCATAGCAGGGTTCACCAAAGCTCAGCAGGGGCCAGCAGGACTTAGCAGGGGCTAGCAGACTGCAGTAGGGCCTCGCAGGGCTTCACGAGCTGCGCAGAGCTCAGCAGAGCTTAGCAGTAATCCCCGCGCATGTGTGGCCGCTACTTTGGCTGGGCCCTCCATATCACTGTCTGAAAACCTTCTTCGGGATCGTCGTGTTTCACACTTCGCCTACGGCCGGTTCGTGTGGCTTCCTGTTGAAAGTCTCGAGGAAGTCAACGCATTCCAACTGAAGTTCGCTAGGAAGGCATCTTACATCCCCAGGCCGAAAGTTTTTCCCCTTGGACTAAAAATAAGAAAACACCAATAAATACAATTGGCTCCCCTTTTCGGGTGTGGGGGAGTTTCGTGGATCCTATTTCTGTGTTGCGCGGATCCAATTTCCTGTGTGTAAAAAACGATGGATCCATTTGTTTCCCGGGAATAAAGATACGATAATAATTAACATGTGGGACCCAGGGGAAATGGGATCCGCGGAGCACCGCAAGTGAAGCATCATGCTGTCCACGGAGCTGCGGGTCTGCAGACCACTGCTATGATTCTACGGGGGAGGGGGGTCTTCCCAGGATGAAGAGGGGAAGGATGAGTGAAGAGGCGAGAGGAGGTGGGAGGAGAACAGTGGGGACGCAGGGGGGGAGAGAGGAGGAATCATCAGGGCAGAGAGGGGGGGAGGAGGAAGGAAGAGGAGAAGGAGGAGGAGAAGGAGGATGAGGGAGGAGGATGAGGGAGGAGGGAGGAGAGAGGAGGGAGGCGGACGGACGAAGGAAAAAGGGGGAGGAGGGAGGAGGTGGGAGGAGGAGGGGGGAAGTGGGAGGAGGAGGAGGAGGAGAGGAAGGGATGAGGGAGGGCGAGGACACACAAGCAAAGTGTCAAAGTCGGAGGCTCGAGCGCCACAGCGGGCCCGGCCACCTCCCTTCACCTTTCCCATAACATGTGGTTGCTCGAGCGCCACCGCGGGCCTGGCCATCTCTCGAAAGTCCTCCCATAACAGAAGTTTGCTCAAACGCCACAGCGGGCCCGGCCAACTCCCGCATCTCCACCCATAACATATCTAACTACCCCACCTCGAAGCGAGCGCTACATGTATCCGCTCACCTGAGGGGCGCGTCGTTTCCGACATGTGGGACTCAAGAGGAAAATCTTTCGGCCTGCGTAAGTATTGGATACTTATTTGACTATTATTACACTTTATTAAATTCGTAATGAATGTCCATGGAATTCCTAGGAGGTCTTTCTATCGGAGTCCCTATTGAATTCCAAAAAGAAGGCTTCCTATTGAAGCCAAATCCAACCCCAAACCAAATCCCAAACCCAAACCTAAACCTCCCAGTCCATAAGTCAAGTGTGACCCTGTAGTACTAATATGAATTGCAATCTCAGCAGCAATCGTAGTCGTACCAGTAGTGGTGGCAATAGTAGCGCGAGGACGATGCGGCGGAGTACGAGGAGGCGCGCAGGAACGGCAATCGAGAAAACGGGCCGATCGGAACGACGGCGTCGTCGAATCGAAGCGGGCCAGCGGCGCCAGAAGCCCACGCAAGGTAAATTGCAAGACCAGTCCGTCCGATCAATCTGCTGAGCTCGCCGGCCAGCCCTGGCGGCGGCTGGACCGGACTCCAGCGGCCTTCACGAGAGCCTCCACGACCTCCCCCATGCCACCGCGAGGGTACGCGAGGCCCCGGGTCTGGGGCGTGTGAAGCTCCTGCCGGATCGGACGACACAGGGGGAAAGTGAAGGTCAGCCAATCAGCTCACGCAACTGGCTTCCCCGGCGCAGCCTGGCGCCAGAGGCGCCCAGGCATCTGGGGAAGCGCCCAGCGGCGGGCCAGAATCAGCTGCATGTAGTAGCAAGCTTCGTAAGCCCACTTCCCCTACGTAACCCCGCCCCTTCCCAGAACTCCGTCGCCGCGTCTCTGTTCGCAACGTCTACTCCACGGCCTGGACCCCTCCCCCGCGACCAATCTTTTGACCTGGGTCGTTTTCTGACACTCCCGAGACCCGGCGAGGGCCCCCAAAGACAGAAAACGGCGAAACCTCCCGTCGCGGTTTCCTTACACGACGAGAAAAGGTTGGGGCCGTTCGTCCGACCCGATCCTCCATGGTGAAGGCCATCGCCGCCGTGGTGGTCCCACTGCAGTCCTGAGGGGGACATCATGGGGGGACCGTCTCAGCGGGGGTGACATCGAGCTTGAATCGGCGATGCATCGCCGATAGGCTGGCGATAGGGCCCCGACGGCAAGCTCGTACGCTCCTGGGCGGGATGGGCTATCGGGCCCCTATCGGCGATGATTGGGCGATCGGGGATCGATGCGCCCCGCCTGTCCCTCCCTAGCGCTGCCCCCGAAGTCCAGGCCAGAGAGCGAAAAGGCCAGGGCGTCCAGCCACTTGCGGAGCCAGCTGCCCTTCTTCACCCGACCCTCGAGCTCGAGCCTGTCCAGCACGGCCGAGAAGGGCTCACTGAGGGCCGGCGAGTCCCTGATGGCCGGGACCACCGCGCCTGGGAATTTGAGCAGCAGCGGCAGCAGCTGCCACTCATCGTCGCGAAGCACCTCGGCCGAGTGAAATCGACTGCACGCAAGAGTGACCCAGGCAAGAGTGACCTTTGGTGCACCGCTTGAAGGCGCCGCGAAAGGAGCCAAACAAGCGCACAAGCCAGAGCTGGGGTGGCCCTTGCGGGCCCGCAACGGCGAAAGGTCGCTCTTACGCGTGGCCGATGAAATACCCTGGCAGTCTACAGCGATGAAGAAGCAGAACGCATGTTTGCTTCTACTCGGCGAAGGGTGCGATGTTCGAATGTAAGCAGGTTTACAAAAGACTCGGCTAATCCGCCGCAGGGCCCTGTAAGGTCCGTATTCACACTCTTGGCAGGAAGGAGGTGGAAGACGTGCAGCAGCAGGATAAGGAGGACGAGGATCAGCAGCAGCAGCAGCATCAGAACGACGAGGAGCCAAGGCACAAAGATGCAGAACCACCGTCCCAACGTCGCCGGCGAAATCTGGTGGACACAAAGCTTATCAAGCGTTGCTAATTATCGTGGCCCGCATCAAAATGAACGTAGGTGTTGACCTGCGCAATCGACTGGTCGGTGACGCCTGCAACCGTGCGCAACACCCAGCAATCATCTGGAGCGCTCACTGAAATCATTGCCGCACGCAGCATTCGCCTGCTACCTCTTTCCCTCCACATCCCACGTTGCTCACTGGCCCTCCCGCAATGACGTCGTGGGTTCCTCCTCGGTGTTCTCCAGCCCTTCCCTCGCGTACCACCCAGTCCAAGGATCGCCCCACCAGGACCGCGCGAGATCCTCGACGCTCGCATCGTCCTCCTCGGGATCCTTGGTTCACATGCCGTACCCGTCGACCTCAGAGAAGCACTGGGACTTGCGCGACGCCGGTGGCCAACCGCCTATCGGGGAACTGCTCCATGAAAGCGTCCGTGGTGGCAGCCAAGGGGAGCTTCAGCCGCCGATCGAAGGCACACTGGTGCGCTCCCGAAAATGCCCCACCGTGGAAGAATTGAACAATTCACGCCAATTCTTCGGTGGCAGACAGCGGAAAAAAGGTGGCTCCGCAGGCGGAAGCCAGAAGAAGGCTGGCGGAAGCTCGCGGAAGAGCAACGTGCGCTCACAGGGCGTGCGCCTCGAGAAATATCAGCTGGATCTGTTGCACCTCGTCTGATCGCAGCGCGCGGGTCCCAGCGCACCATGGATTTGATCAGATTGGCAGACCCGTGCTTAGAGATGCTGCCGGCCTCGGCTGCGATCGTGGCAGCGGCACTCACCTGGCTCGGCAGCCCTTTGTGGTCCCGGTCGGGTCAGTAGGAACGTGTATGGGGACGGCTGAGCAGAGGCCGTCCCTGTCCCGTAGTCTCGGATGGACACCATCCCACTATTGCGAAGTCCTTCGCACGCAAGGCTGCACGAACATATGACGAGCAACGCAAGTGTAACAACGTTTATGACACGACACAAGCGATCAGATGCGAGCTTGCTGAACGCCACGCTGAGCCGCAAGAGCCCATGGCAGATAAATAGATCCTGCCATGACAGGATTAGTATAAAGCGTATATTGTTGTATGATCTGTACGATAGGTGGTTGTGCAGTGACGTGTCCATTGCAATGTTGGTCGAAATATTGATCCATTGCTTCGTCAGTAGCATTGCCCGCTGAATAGAGGCTGGCGATCGCTCATTCTTTGCTAACGCGCTCCGTCGCATTGCCCGCTGCTTGCATGCTATGGCGCGTCGGAGCAAACCGAAGCATCAGACGCATCCAATCGATGCGCGCCGCATCGCTTGGAGGCTGCGCATCGCCCACCGATTGGGTAAACTAGCGACATTGGCTTGAGCGATCCTGGAAGCTGCGTATCGTCAGTTATCTTCTCTGCCCCCTTCGTTGCTTTGCCTCTTGGATTACTAGCTCAGGGGAGGGGGCAATCGTGCGCCACGACCTGAAACACAAGCTGGGCAAGCCGACGATGCGCTTGATTGTGAGATGGAAGGGTACCTCGGCAAGGACGGCGACGGGTGCCCGAGGCGGGCCCACGCCAACCCTGTCTGGACGAGCCATGGCGATTCACCAAAATCAGCCCGCCCAAGAAGCCGCTGCGGACCCGTGAGTTTTATGCAAATTGTCTCCATACCCACTAGACATACATGGTTACACCCTTGGCACACGCCGCGAGCCGATCCCCGTCTACTCGGGCTTATCCAAAAGGGGACCTGGGGCAGGACGTTCCCGACGCCGAATGTGAACTTGCGCGTAACAAAACCATCATCGTGGAACTCCCACTAGCTACTGCAGATATCTTAAAATGCCGCGATAGAGGCACGGCAGACCCATGTTCAATCGCACGGCCGCATGGTGACGACCTTGACCGTCGCAAGTCCCAAGAGGCTCGTTCGACACGGGTGAGCGGTTGTTTCTCACCCCTGCTCGATAGCGCCACGGCGCTCGGAGACCTTGCATTTCCTCTGTGCTCTGATGTCGCAGACGCATGCGCGCACGACTCTCCTCGCACTCGCTTCGCAAGCCATGCCTGATCCGAGCAGAGTAACGCCGCGCTGGATGTCTGCAGTGCCCATCGGCCGTCGGGTGTGCGCACGACGGCTGTAAACCAGGCGGGTGTGCACCTGCGCAAGCTGCGCTGTGGCAGTGGGGACCAGGCGCGGGCGAGCGATGGACCTTGTTCGCGGCGTACTGCTGGTAGCTGCTCGCGTCGACCACAAGATCGCAAGCTTTACAACTTGCTGGTGGAGGGCATCGGTCGGCGCATAAAACCGCATAATCTAATCATTCTGCATGCTCGAGGTATGCCGGGCGGGAGTAGCATCACCGCGATAGGCGCCGCTGCCGTCTTCAGCTAGCGGCGACCTTCGAGGGCGTCGGGTCTTCTGCCTGCATGGCTGTGATCGCACGCCGCTGCATGGTACAGGGAGGGCACCCAGTGCCTTCAGGGCCAGGATGGCCACGGAGCGCCCAAATCCAGATTGATCAACTGGGGCTACATAGCATTACGGTCAACCCGTGTAACATGGACGCGCGATAAGATAAGGATGCGAGGGCCTTGGAAGGTCATGTCGACACTTTACGGGCGGGGCGCGGCCAGCGCAAGCGACCAAGGATGGGCCCAAAGGGGAAGGATGCAAGGGTAACCTTGGAAAGTCGATCATCCTTACTGTGCGGGGCTGACTGTACGGAGGAGGCGCTCGTTTTCTTGCTGTTACTCCCCAAATCCGCCTCGGGTCTTGCGCGGGGGCGCGGTCGGCGGAGGCCTGTGGCAACGGCCCGCTGGCAGGATCACTTAGAAGCACCCCTTGTTGCATTTGAGTTTGATCTGCTCCGCAACACGCTCTGCAATTGACCGTGAGGAGGAGGAGGAAGAGGAGGAAGAGGAGGGCAGGTGAAGTAGACTCCACGCGCCTAGGCGGCACACGTAATCGGGTTGGGGGCCTGAGATCCTGGGGCAATAATGGAAAACGAAAATGAGGAGGAGGACGAAGAGGGAGGGGGGAGGACGACGGGCAGGCGGAAGAAATGCCTTCGGAAGGGTACGACATTGAGTGAACGCGGAATGGGATAAGGAGTAGGATGGGGAAACTGATGAGGAGGAAGGATGAAGAATCAGTAGCGCGCGGGAGGGGCACGGCAAGGATGCGGAGGAAGGATGGGCAGGTCGAGTGGACCAGCAAGACCACCACCAACATTGCCACCACGACCACCTCCCACAATTACCATGATCACCACCACGACGACCACCACGACCACCCCGCGATGAGGCACGACCACCTTCACGACCACCACCTCGACGACGCATCCGCTACCACGACCGCCACGACCAACACCGCGGCCACCACCTGCACGACAACCGCCTCGACCACTACGACGGGACACGGTCACCATCATGAACGGGCACGACCACCTTCGCAACGACCGCCACCACGACGACGCAACGACCGCGCCTCGCCGCTCCCCGGCCCCCCTTCCTTCGACCCCTTCTGTCTGGCCGCCCCTGCCTGCAGTTCCCACCTGTTCTCAGTAAGTCATCAACTCGTATATCAGTGCAGGAACGCTGCCTGGCCTGACTTGTTTGCGCCACGTGCGCCATGACTGATGTGCGCCGCGCTGTGCGCGAGGAGTGCCGCCTCGAAACCCAAAGAGGCCAGGCCCGTGCGGCGTTTGAGGTGGAACCCCGGATCATAGCCCCAATGCCCAGAGGCTCCCCTGTGTGATCGGGGTGGTGACCCACCCGGTCTCAGAGGAGGAGGAAGGGGAGAAGCGAACGCCCACTTGCGGACGTCAATTACGTTGCGGCCGACGCGGCCCCGCGCCGCCCACGAGGCAGGGAGGAAGCCGCAGGGCGCGCCGCGCAGCGGCGATGGCTGCCTTGTTAATGTCGTAAGCGTTCTAGGACGAGAGAACGGGGGCCCTGGCCTCATTGATGGAGGCCGAGCCGATGTTCACGCCGTGCTGGACGCGGTGGAAGTTGTAGGTCTTGAAGGCGACGGCCAGGCCTGCGATGGCGCGCGGGATGGCGTCGTCATCGCTCGGCTCGCCGTCGAGGCCCAGGCGCGCGATGATGCTCGGCGAGACTTGTCCGCGAGGAAGGCAGAGATGGCTCCGCGAGGCACGCGTGCTTGACGGGGTTGACTTGCATGCGGTAGCTCGCAACCCACGCGCCCGCCGGCGTCTCGAGGACAGGCCACAACTGCGACGGAGGGGCACGTGCGAGATGACGACGAATCACGGACCAGCCAGCAGCAAGCGAAGGAGGCCATTCTTCGATGTCCAGCATGTCGACGCAACGGTTGCCGTTGCCGCCCTGGGCGGTGTCTTCAGGAAGCCAGCGGTCTTCATCGCGTGCTTCATGGGTGGTGGGCCAGCGGCGGCGGGCACGATGCTCAGCAGCTTCTTCGTCTCGTTCGCGTTGTGCCGCCGCTGTCGGGTGGCTGGGCTGGTGGAGTGAGTAGCGACGACTGCGGGCGCAGGACGCGCTGTGCCAACGACGCTCGCAGATCTCGAGTGCGACTGCGTGACGGCGGCCACCATCATGCCAGGGGCCGGCGGCGCTGTCCAACATGTCGTCGAATTGAAGGCGGCGGAGGCAGATGGTGAGGTAGGGGGGCGCACAACTCCATCCAGTCGCGGTAGTCGTCGTAGCTAGGGTTTGAATATACGCTCGGGATCCATCGGGCGGCCCACGCTTCCGCGCGCTCGTTCATGTAGGCGCGAGACTGCTCGGCGGCGGGCGTCTGCGAGGGCGCGGCGGTCGTCGGCACGGGTAGCGCGGCGAGGAAGGCTTCGTCGAAGGAGCGAGCAGGCGGAAGCGCACCGATGAGCGGGAACCAGGCTTTCAAGCGCTTGGGGATGTTATTGTAGAAGTTGTCCGTGTAGAGGGCGGCCTGGAGCTCGTGCGAGTTGGCGGACTGTGGCGAGTTGCGTGCTATATGTGTCCCCTTGCCTTAGGCCTTGCCACGACCCTCTCTCTGCGTCGCGTCGTAGTGGGAGGGCGCGTCACGTCCGGGCCGACGCGCATTGTCAATGAGAGCTTGGTGGCCAGCGGCTGCCGCACGACGATGGGCGGCTGCCAGGGGAAGAGTAGCACGCTGAGGAGTACCAAGCACGCGCCTCAAGGTCTTGCGGATGGAGCCCTTGCAGGTCGGGAAGAGCTGGCCCGTGACGATATGCTCGAAGCGCTGCGCGATGGAAAGCTTGTCTTCGCAGCAGTCAGCGCACCGATGTCCTTGAACGACTTGGCAGACAGGCGGACGATCCTCTGCAACTGCTAGGCGTACGCGAAGTAGGCGCGTCCACGGTGTCAGAGTGGAAGAGGCAGTGCGCCACGTGGTAGCCGAGAGCAGAGTTTCCAAACCCAGCGGCGTTTCCACACCCGTCCAGCGCGCAAAGGAGAATCTGTCCAAGTTCGTGAAGCTGGAGGGAGCTGCTCGCAGTAGCTCGCGTAGCGCGTGAATCTCCTTGGCGACGAAGCATGGCGATGGAGGGTAGAGCTGTTCAATGTAGCATGAGAGGCAGGTGACGGCGGCGACGTTGTAGAGCTTGCTGCTTTGTTGTGCAGGCGAGCGTGCTTCTCCGAGCATGTGCACCCTGCCCCACCACATGCCAGCAGGCGATTTCCATTGCAGGGAGAGCGTGGCACCAGGGCCGACGAACGCACCCAGGTTGCGCGCGTGGCCAGCGATCTTGACATCCTTCCATGGTGGGTAGATGTCGGCGGGCGTGGATTAGATGGTTGCGATCAGCGAGTGGGTTGGGAGCGCCCTCGTCGGGACGACGATGCACTTCGTGGCCTGCAACCGCAGTCCAGCAAAGGGTTTTGCAGCACGGAGATGAGGACAGGAGCTCGATGTCGCGGAAGGCGGCGAGGATGATGCCGAGGTCGTCGGCGCAGGCGCTGATGAGGCCACGCCCAATGCGAGAGAGTTCGCGCTCGATGCCGCGAATGACGGGGTCGAAGATGAGCGCCCGCAGCGCACCGCTCAGAGGGCACCCCTGGGCGACTCCATATTCGGCGAGCAGGAGGGGCCGGCGGGAATCACCAAGCTCGAGCGGCATGTGGCAGCACGCCTGCAGCACCGCGAGGAGCGGTCCGCGTAGCCCCCAGCGGCGCAACACAGCCCAAAGCCACTCATGAAGAAGGCTGGGGAAAGCGGCGGCGATGTCCATGCTGGCGAAGCAGGGTTGCAGCTGCTCGGCGTGCTCGCCAATGCTGAGCTGGCGGGCGATCGTGTCGACCAGGGCAATATTGTTCAGGGGCTGTCTGCCGTTTACGAAGCCCTGCTGCTCGTCGGCGGTCATGGCAGCCGCACGGCGAAGCCTGCGAATGGTCGCATACGCGATCAGTTTCACGTCGCTGTTCTTCACGGCGAGGGGGCGGAGACGGTCGGGGGCCCGCGTGCACTCGAAGTTGCCGAGGAGCTCGTCGCCCTTCGGGGGCATGGCCATCGTGGCGTAGTTCAAGTCGCAGGGGATCGCACGGCCGCGCGCCACGTGCTGCAGCAGGTCTGCAAGCACGTCCAGGCTGCCATGCGAGAGAAGCCATGCGCGGCACGGGAGGCCGTCGGGTCCAGGCGCAGAGTCGCACGCCAGACGTGCGGCGGCGCGCAGGTCCTCGCTGCTGGGGAGCTGGATGTCGAAGCACGGGCGCTGTGGGAAGACGCCATCGAGATAACTTTCCATTGCTTGTGCGTCGGCCACCTTAGCGGCGACGACCTTGCTCCAGTGCGATCGGATGGCCGAGCGCATCGCCATGGGATCGGCGACGGCATGGTAGGGTGCCAGAGGAGATGCGGATGCCAGCGAGGACGGGGCGCTTGGCGAAGGGCTTCCAGGGCTCTCCACGTTGTACTTCGCGACACGATCGCTGTCTCCATTTCTCTCCACGGTTGCAGCTCTGCTCTTGAAAAGCAGCTCGGGAACGCGCAGCGGCTTCCTGTCGGCGGAGATCGGCGATGGCGACGTGGGTCGCGTCAACTTCATTGGCGAAGGCGTCCATGTCGGCGATGGTGATCCGGTAGTTGTCGAAGGACAGGTAGGAGGCGCCAGCAGAGGTGTCGTTAGCGAGGAGAGAGGCGAGGTGCCGATCCTGGCGCCAGACGGCGCGGGCGATGCTGCGCAGAGTCGTAGCACGAGCTTCGCGGTTGATAGATGGCTCGTCATCTCGAGCTTCGGACGGGTGTATGGTGACCAGGGCGTCGCGAGCCTTCTGCGCCGCTAAAGTCATGATATGCGTAACTGTGCGCCACTTCGAGACCGGGTCAAGCGAGTCGAGGTCAATCATGTTCACAGAGCGGTCGTAGTAGAACTTGTAGTGCTTGGAGTAAATACAGGAATGCCCCGCTCCGCCGCGGGGCGCTGGGCGCGGGGCCGGAGCCGAAGATGAAGTACTTTGCGGTCGCTAGCGGGCACGCCGGCCGGCTCGAGAGGACGGCCGCCCACGGTGGGGCGCGCCTCGAGGTGGGGCACGTGAAAGGCAGGCGTGGAGATGAAACAGCGGTCGATCGTGGCCTCAGTCTTGTTGGCGGAGCAGCGGTGCGTCGTGGACTTCGTCGCGACCTCGACCATGGTGGGGAACATCTGCTTCCGGCATGCTGGTTGGTATTGGTATATGCCCGTGGTGGACGCGTCCACTGGGCGTAGCAGGATTTTGGGCGGCAGCTCAGAGAGGCTGAAGACGCCGATCGAGACCAGGTCGCGCGCGTCGGGTTGGCGTCTAGGCGGGCTTTGGCAGCTGACTACGCTGCGGTAGTGAGCTGGCGGTCGGTCGCAGTCAGCTCGTGGTTGTGTACATTGAATATGGTGGTCTCGTACTTGCGCTCGGTGTCGAGGATGCGGAGCTCGGCGATGCGGCCCTCCACGATCCGGATGCAGTCGCGCCGGGGTCGCTGGCCCGCAGGCAGGCCGAGCCCGCTCTTGTCATAAGGGACGAGGAAGCCGATGCCACCAGCATTCTCGTCGATGTCGTTACAGGCCGAATGGAACGAGATGTACGGGTGGTGAGAGGAGTCGGCGAAGTTCTGGAGGTCACTGTAGTTGCCGTGTGTTTCTTGCAGAGCAATGACTGCGCGCTGCCTCATGTAGGGCAGCAGGATGCTGCGCTTGATGGCGCGGCGGGATGAGGAACGGCCGAGAAGAGCTTGAGTGTTCCAGGAGACGATGTTCATGCCGTCGGGTTGCGGTTTGACGAACCATGGTGACCACCTCCTTCTACAGCCACTGCGCGGAAGCCATGGGGTCTGCGAGAGCGGCGGCGAGCTCCTTGCCGCACTCGCCGCGCTCGGACGCGGGAATACCAGCAAGGCCAGCGGCGTCAGACCAGCGAACCCTGGAGGCGGCTTCGGGCGTCGCGCCTGCGATGGCCTGGACGACGGGGGCGTCGTTGACCGAGAGGCGTCCGCTGGCGCGGTGAATCCTGAGCGCGGTGTCGGGGTGCTTGGCGGCAATGAGCTTGCTGGGTTTTTTTGAGTTGGACTTCCTGCCGAACCGCGCGAGGGGACTTGTCGGCCGAGACGTGCAAAGGTGCGGGGCCATCAACTGCGGCCGCGGTAGGTGTCCTCCGATCCTGCCCGGGACACAGGACTTGATGAAGAGCGGCAGCAGCAGGAGTAGCCAAGGTATCTCCACCAATGAGAGTGAACCACATGCGTTTCCCAGGTCCATGCGAGTTGAGACGGGCAGCGCCGACGCCCACGCTTGCGGCGACGAACCAGTCAGTGAGCGCGCACTCTTTTGCCGCGGCGTCGAACTCTGCCTGGGGTTCGCATCAGAAAGTAGCAGCGTTGGGTTTCCTGCCCCAGTTCCCGAGATTGTCGATGTGGATGGAGGGGCGAAGGGTTTCTGCATGAGCGAGGGTTCGCTTGAGGTCGTCCACTGTGGCTCGTAGATCGGCATTGAGTTGTTCAGCTTTCTCGGCTCGAGCCTCGAGTTGAACTGCGTCGCGTTCCACTCCTTCTTGTCTTTTGCAGAGCTCCTCTGTGGCGCGGCTGATGGTCTTGATGGGCTCGGCTTGGGCCTCAAGGCCGACCCTCTTGGAAGTTTCTCCGAACGCTTTGGCTGCCTGATCGGCTTGGGCTCGAAGGGGGTCTCGAAATTCCTTCCGACGATGGGCTGGGAAGCCTGGAGCGAATAGTTTCTGCGCGCCAGCAGCCCGGGTATCGACGTGCCCGCCCTTGCCTTTTCCTTTGTATCCGAGCGCTGCAAGATCGCCAGCGGCCTCGCCGCCCGTCGAACCCATCTGTCCACTTCGGCCGCCGATGAGAGGAGGCCCGCACTAGCCTCGAAAGAACGCGCGCGATGTGGAGGCCGACCGCAGGCGAATGCGGCAGCGTGGAATATGAAGCTCGACGCTCCGGGCGCAGTAAAGGCATGAAAGCGGGGCCCTCGCCGGCCCCGGACCGAGGGTCTCCGCGCTGTGTCACGGGGCAAAAACACATTGAGCCAAGACGGCTACGGGGGGGGGGGAGGGGGAGGGGGGGGGAAGGAGGGTGCTTTAAAGAAAAACATGATGATTGGGACGAAGCAGCAATGGGCCCTTAAACGCGGCCTGGGGGCGCAGCCGAAGGTCTACTGCGCGCGACGGCGCCAGCCTCTGACAAAGCGTTCGCATCTAGCTTGGCGGGGGGGGGGAGGAGGAATAATAAAACAATAAATATATATATATATATATATATATATATTTTTAAAAAAAAATGAAACAAAAACGCAGGTTGGGAATGCAGCAGCTGCGCGGCTTATACCCGGACGACGCTGAAACAACAACGCGAGCCGAGGGGGCGAGAGAGAGGGAGATAGAGAGAGAGAGAGAGAGAGAGAGTGAGAGAGAGAGAGAGAGAGAGAGAGAGAGAGAGAGAGAGAGAGAGAGAGAGAGAAGAGAGAAAGAGAGAAAAGAGAGAGAAAGAGAGAGAGAGAGAAGAGGAGAGAGAGAGAGAGAGAGAGAGAGAGAGAGAGAGAGAGAGAGAGAGAGAAGAGAGAGAGAGAGAGAGAGAGAGAGAGAGGAGAAAAAAAAAAAGAGAGAGAGAGAGAGAGAGAGAGGGAGAGAGAGAGAGAGAAGAGAGAGAGAGAGAGAAAAAAAAAAAAAAAAGAGAGAAAAAAAAAAAGAGAAAGAGAAAGAGAAAGAGAATGAGAGAGAGGAAACAAAAAAAATGAGCGCGGGCGGGCGGGCGGCGGAACGCAGAAAAGGGAAAAACCGGCCCAGCGTGCAAATGGCTGCCTGGTCCTCTCCCTCAACTTGGGGGGCGGCAGGCGGCGCGCCAGTCCGGGGCGCGCGTTCGAGGGGGGCAAAAATAAGCGACGGCGAAAATGCGAGGACAACGACGGCGATGCCGATGGCGATGACGGCGATAGCGGCGGCGGCGGCGATGATGGTGATGATGGTGGGGAGGGCGATGCTGGAGATAGTGATGGTGGTGAATATGATGCTGATGATGATGGCGACAACGATGAAGGTGGTGATCAGGGCGGCGATGCTGATGATGTTGGTGATGGTGGTGGATGTAATGGTGATGATGATGATGGCGGCGGCGGTGGCGGTTGCGATAGCGATGATGGTGATGATGCGCCCGTCGGAGGTGGAGCGCCCAGGCTGTCACAATAACATAAGTGCAAAATTATCCTGCTGCTCTGCATTCGCAGCCCGCGCCGCGCAAAGACTCGCCTGACAGGCGCCGAAAAGTCGACGGTTGCCGGGCCCCGCGCCCCCCTCGGATTAGACTGGGGGGGGGGGGTCGTGCGGAGGAGCAAGGAGAACCGAAAGAAGTCATTTTTCCTTTCGGACTGGCAGGCCCCAGCGCGCCACTGCAGGGGCAACCGCCTGGGCCGCTGCGGGCTCACTGGCGGGCGCTGGGCGCTGGGCGCCCGAGCCCGGGGGGCGGCTCGCAGCCTGGGGGCCCCGCCCCGCAGAGGGGGCGGAGGAGGGGGGCGACGATGCAAAAAAGGGGGGGGGGGGGGGCTCGGGGCGAAAACGAAACCGAACTCGTCAGCCACGCGTGCGCGCAGGTCCGCCGCTGGGCGGAGGCGCGGCAGGACGCTCGCGCGCCAGCAATCGCATCAGGCCTGCCGCGCGCCAGCGGGGCGCTTGCACTCCGAGCAATCGCTTCGGGCCCGCCGGCCTGCAGCGGGATGCTTGCGCCCCAGGCAACCGCGTCGGGCCCGCCGCAGAGCTATTCGTCCGCTCTGCATCGCCACAGATACAGCAGGGCACGCGCGTTCTTCTCCGCGCTCGCCTGCACGCCGCCGCCGCTGACCGCGCGGAACAGCGCATAGACGCCAGAACTCATGCGGGCGATGTCTGGAGCAGTAACGCCGCTTTCAAGCAGGAAGAGAGATTCGCGAAAGCGAAGCCGCGGTGCAAGGCCGAGGCCGCGCGGGCAGGGAGACAGCGCCTATTGCCAGAAGACCGGGCGCTGGCAGTAGCGTTCCAAGCTGTCCTGCACCCCTGCGCGCCCGAGCTTGCGGGCCCCGCGCCATGCGCTGCCCGCCGCGCGGCGCATCCTGCGCGCGGTCGCCCATCCATTCCACCATGTTCTGAAGAATGCTGACAGCGCCTACGGCGGGCAGTGGGGCGCCACAGTCTGCGGCCGCAGTTGCGCGCGCCGCGGCACTGTGCCAGGCTGCCCGGATATATTCCACTTAGCGGGGTCTACGGAATGCATCGGGAAGAAGTAACAGTAAGCTAGACGCGTCAAATCTTCGGGAGCGGCCCAAGAGCTGGAACCCGGGGCGAGAGCGCGCAAGACCTTTCGGAAACTGTCGGCTGCGTCGCTGCAATCGGCTGTCAGCTGCATCGCGAAGGAGAGCACGGGGAGGATGTCAATAAGAAGCGCTCGGATGCTGTAAAATATGCCCAAATGGGGAGACGCCCACTGGCGCGCCCGAGCGCAGAACTTCTCCAGCGGCTTGCCCCGTGACTTTCCCTTTGCTCCTGGGCCCAGCACGAAGCCTAAGTATTTTCCGAGCCATGAGATGCAGAGTGATCGCCAGGAGGGGCACGCCTCTGCGATGAGTGTTCGCCGTCTGTCGGTTCAAGAAACCTTCCACAGGGGGGTTGTATATGTCTTGTGGGTGTTGAGCTCCAAACCAGCTAAACGGGCGTACTCACACAACGCCTTACTAACTTACTAACGCAGTGGGAAGAAATTGCGTAATCTTTTGCCGCCACAGCCGCGTCGTCTGCAAACGCCCGGACACCCTCCCCACAGCCCAGATGTGAGGAAACGCTGCGCAGCATGACATCGGCGCAAAGCACAAAAACAGCAGAAATGATAATGGGCAGCCCTGTCGCACTCCACCGCGAACATTAACGCTTTCGAAAACGGAGCTGCCGATCTTGATCCAGCGCTTGTTGTCGCGGGGCGGCGACCCGACGGCCATCAGGGCGCCCCGCGTGTAGTCGCGCGACAGGCTGGGGAACGCCGCCGTGAAGCTTGACAGCGCGATGGCACCCTTCCGCGATGAAATGCTACACTTCTGCGCCGCGAAATCAACATCGACTGCGATGCGTAGCGTCTGCCTGCCCACCAGAGAGCCCCGCTGAGGAGCAGAAGCCCAATCGACAACTTTCCTTTCCAGGGCCACGCGGAACATCGAACCTATTATTCTGTTAGAAGCGTCGACGATGGACAGCGGGCGGGCGGGCCCCGGCAGGGTCGCGCACTTCAGTTACTCCGTGCGCGTCACCGCGGCCCTTTGGAAGACGCGCAAGAAATGCCCACTTGAAGTCGCGCGGCGGCGCGAGGATACCCTGGATCATGCCTGTTACGATTTCAAAGAATACGGGCGCCAGAATATCTGCTAACCTCCCGTCAACCCCGACAGGGATGCCATCTGGCCCAGGAGAGAACTTGGGTAAGAGCCCAAAGACATGTCGCACGCCCTCCAGCGCAGGGCAGAGATCAGACACATCCAAGCGCAATTTACCCGATGGCTGGTCGAGCCACTGGCGTCGCAGAGAACTATCCGGGGGCTTGTGATCAAAGACCGTTTGCCAATATGGCGTCAATGCAGTAGCCAGCGCATCCGGCTCTGAAGCAATACCCCCGCTGCGATCCTTGACGGCCGAGAGACCGCGAGTAGCGCCAGGGGGCACACGGCGTAGAGAGAAACAAATGCCGTCATTCCTCTGCTTGTACACCATCCCCGGCATGTCCTGGCGCGCCCGCTTCAGCTCGCCCACGCGCTCTGCAACGGAAACGTGCTCAAGTTCTTGCTCGTGGGCCAGCAAATCCCTGTAAGCCTGCGTCGCCGCAGTCCCTTGGTCCACCGGCGCGCCCTGAAGATGGGGATTTGCGGCTTGAATGCGCCCAGCGTTTTCCCAGTCATTGCGGCCCAGGGCTCTGAAAAACCCAATGCGTGCCGAAAGTTTCTTTCCAGTGGTGGACGCAGGTGCGTTCCTGATGTTCACCTCTGTGAACTTCACAGCACTTTTCACGGCAAGCTTGAACAACCCCAGCTTCGCGAAAGCATCTCCCGATCAACTTGGCACTTCGATCTGAAACTCCGCGAACACCTCTTGGCAGAAGAACTCGCGTGAAGAGACCCAGGCAGGCACTCTGAATACAGGGGTCTCCACCCTGCAGCTCAATGCAAGACACTGGGCGATGCGAAGATAGATGCGGCCATCGATCCAGGACGTGATAGCTCACCTCCCGAGTGCGATTAAGAGCGGGGTGCAAGGATGAGTAAACATGATCACTACGAGAGAAGACAATGCCAGCTTCACATGTGAAGTCGTCCTGGGCCCATTCCACAATGCCTGCCCGAGTCATCTGCTCCTCCCGCGCCTGAGCCGCAGGGCCGTCACCACCAGGAGACCACACTCCATCAGCTTTCAGAAAGCGGCCAGACTCCAGGTGTACAAAACTGAAATATCCCGCAATAGCTGTGCGAGCATGGGTGTCGACTGCATTCCCAAGCGCGTTGATGTGCCGTACTTGGGCGCTGTGGTCCGCCAGATCCAGACAGACGCCGAAGATGTGCAACTCCCTGGCAGGGCCACGTAGCTTCAAGCATGTAATCCAGCTCTCCACCACCACCTCCTCAGAACAAGTAGCGACATTCAGTTGAACTGATGTCTTGATCAAGATGCCAACTCCTCCGCAATATTGATTGATGTATGTTGAATGGTAGCGAGATCCTGGCAAAGCCGCATCGTCCAATGTAACTGCTACGCTCGGGAGTCTCCCGAGTTCCCGTGAGAATCATCAAATCGTGGGTTGAAGCAATTACTGAAGCTCTCTTGCGAGTATCCCCACGGCCGTGCGCGAACAAAGACTGGCAGTTCCAAGTCGCTCAACGCAGGGGCCTGGCGAAAGGAGACGATAAGCCTGCTGATGTACTGGGGTCGACAGCTGGAGGGTGCGGCCGAGGAGGACGATGCAGAACGACAGGGGAAGGGGAAGAGGTGCCTCGATGAAGCCGATCGTCATGAGGCACCTACTAGTCTGGCTCCAGACCCCAAAAATACGCGAAGCAACAGGCCCTACTCCTCCATACCCATTTCCTTCCTCCATTCCTTCATTCCACCTCAGTGAAGCCCAGCTTGAGGTCCGAGATGCCGTCCACTGCCACCTTGAACTCTTCCCAGTGCCGATCTCATTCCCCCACCCTGACCTTGCCTACCCAGACAATGCCTCTCCCATATGAACGGTCCACTCGCTCCGCCACTCCAGGAAGAGCTGCCGGATGCGCCTCTAACACCTTCACCATTTTAGCCACCGGCTTCTCCTTCAGGCGGGTTGGCTCATCCTTGTCGTCGTTCGCCCACAGCCTCCAGACATTGACCGTGACATCCCACTTGTTCTTCAAGTTCGTCAAGAAATCCTTCTTGCCCTGGGCGTCCTTGAACCTGACGAAACCTATGCTGCTCTGGCGACCCTGGACGAAGATCTCCTCTGAGCCCTCCACGTTGCCGTCCGAGTCCCCACACCCTGCTTTGATGCCGTCCGTGATCTCTGTGCCCAGCGAGTCCCGCTCGAACCCGCCGACAACCACGGTACGCTCGAGTGCCTCCTCAGACTTCTTGGCCGCCGTCCTCTGCGCCCCGCTGCTGGCTCCTGTTGCGGGACCTCCAGTCTTACGCAAGACGTTTGCCACCAACTCTGGAAAACCCTCCTTACTCACCATGTCCTCCAACTCCTTCAATCTCATCTCCTTCATCCCCTCCTTCATCTTTTCCTTAAGCATTTCCTGCGCATCACGTCGCTCATGGAGTCCTGCGTGGCCATATCTTCGATGTCCAGCTTCACGTTCCCAAGCTCCACCTCCAAGTCAATAACCTTTTCATCGAGTTCCATGGTCTTCGCCTTGACTGCATCGATCTTGTCGTTCATGTCATCCATCTTCGTCAGGAGTCTGTCGAGCTTCGTGTTCTGCATCGTCGCGTACATGGTGAACAACTCCGGAGCCTGCTCCATCACCTCTCCCATCTTCGAATCATCGTCGCCCGTCGCATCCTGACGAGCCTGCTGTAGTTTGGCCCTTCGTCGCTCGGGCGTTGAGCTGGATTTCTCGCCCGCACGAGCCCCCTTTTTCTTACCATCCCTGTTCTGGTCCATGACTTTAGCAAGCGAGTGCAGTGACCCCCAGACTTGAGCCCCAGACTTGAGCCAAAATAGCTTGAGCCAAAATGGCTACGGGGGAAGGGGTAGGTAAAGGGAGGGTTGGAGGAGGGGGAGGCCACCGCAGGAGGGGTGGGGGGAGGGGTGGAGGGGAGAAGCATGGGTAGAGGAGGAGGGGTGGAGGAGGGGGAGGAAGGGAGGAGGAGGGGATGAGGGGGGGCGGAGGAGGGGTGGAGGAGGGGGGGGGAGGAGGGGGAAGGGGAGGAGGAGGAGGGGTGGAGGAGGGTAAACCACAGAGGAGCACCGAGAAGCCACCACGGTCGTGGGCCCCGCCCCCCTGCCAGAGCAATCGGCCTGACCCCGAACGTTCGTCCTGCCGAGCGCCACGCCCGGGATGTCGTACCCAGTCTTGGCCAAGGGCGCGCACGCTTTCATGACCTCGTCGAACTCCTCTGGCGGCACCCCGTACTTCGGCAGGATCTCGTCGCGGAAAGTGCCGACACCGAGCTCGAGCTTCCAAGGGCCCTCGGGGGTGAGCATCCCCCAGCCGTCGTAATAGATCCACTCCACGTCATCAGAGGCGCCGACGTAGTCCATCACCTATCTCTTCCTCGTGCTCCCTGCTCCTGCCGCTTCTGCTGCTGCCCCCCACCTCCACCTCCCCCTGCACAACACAGCCCGCCAACACAGCCCGTGGTCTTTGGGAGGTGAAGTCCAATGAGGAACTGGCGGAAACGGTAAGAGGACTAACGGAGCAAGTCATGGCTCGACGCCAGGTGACGTGGGAACACGTGTATGGGCACACCGGCGCGCATGACAACGAACTAGCGGATCGCGCGGCGGACTTGGATCGCCAAGGCATGGCTTCGGAACAGTCTCTGCGATGGCTCGCGCCCCCTCCCCAGGTTGCCGCCCTCCGGTGGCAGGACATCGACTTCTGCAAAAAATGCGTCATTGAGGTCTTGTCCAAGGACATTAAGGGGCATTTCCGTCGGTGTCCAGCTGTCGGTTTTGCCATCACTCCAGGGATGACCAAGTGTCGGACATGTAAGGTGGAGGTCAAAAAGGGGTGCAGACACGCGCACGAGAAAAAGTGCCGCGGGGGCGAGCTCCATAATATGACGTGCAGTAGATGTGGAAAGGTGTTCGAGCCAACTTACCCTCCAGGCATGATATCCCGTCCCTGTGGAGCACATGAGACATGGTGTCGCGGCGTGCGCGTGCTAGCACCCCGTGACCCTGTGGCGCCCGCGGCGGCAGCCCCCGCGGCTGCCCCATCCGTGCCCCGAGCGAAACCGAAGGCCAAGGGCGGTGCCAAGGCGGCGGCTGCCGGGCGCGGGAGAAGCGCGGCAGCCAACCCTCGAGGCCACGTTCTTTGCCCGATGCTGGCTCGAAAACTGGCGGTGGCCACCCCCGGGGGCCATCCCTCCAGGCCGCGGTTTTGCCGAATGCCAGTTCGAAACATGGCGGCTTTCCTCCTCCTGTGTTTTTCTCCTCCCCTCGTTGGTGTGCGGGTGTGCGTGCTTGGTAGCTCCCCTTTGGTGGTCAACGGTTCCCGCGTCAGTTTGTGTCTCGTGTGGCTGCACCCTTTGTGCCTGGCGGCGATCATACGTGACGTCGCGTGGGCGGCAGACGATTCTATTGTTCCGTCATGTGCCAGACCTGCGCCTACTGACGCAGGTCACGCCGCCGCCACGCCCCTTGCAGCCGGGGCTGTCATCCGTATTGTGTGTTCTGCGGAGGCCGTTGAATGTGTATGTGTGTTTATACCTAGAAGTGACTCCCCTCTTGTGCCCTTATACCTAGAAGTGACTCTGCCTCACCCTCCCTTTTTCCCGCTCCCTTTCGTCCCCTCCCCTCGTCGTCCCCCTCTCCGTCTCCTCCCCTCCGCTCCCCCTCTCCGTCCTCTCCCCTCCCCGTCCCCCTCTCCCCGCTCCCGCTCCCAGCCCCTCCCTGCCCCCTCTCGGACCACCAATCACATCGTGTATGCTCGTGTTTGACCATGGTGCAACGTTGCAGTCCCATCTCATCATTGTTATGCGCGTCGCCGCAGCTCCAGGGACCGCGTACGCGCCTGCCCCACCGCCCCCGGTCGACCGTTGGCTGCCATGGCGGCCGCCCGTCGCCAGCAAGTGGACCAGAGCCTTGCCTCGCACGACGAGCGTCTCGAGCGCCTAGAGCGTACTGTTCAGCGCCACGAGGCCAGCATCCGTACGGTGCTCCGTAGCACTGTGATGGTGTATGAGGGCTTCGTCAAAGCCGACCTGTTCTACATGCAAAAGCACGCTGCGGAACAGTGGCGGGAGCTGAAGGAAGGGTGGCCGGAGGTTATCTGCAACTAAGGAGGCGGCGGCCCACCTCGGTGTGGCCTGGCCCCTCGACGTAAACCTCGACGACGGTGCCCCGGAGTCCGAGAGCGCCCGGGCCATCCGCAATCTGTCACGTGTCCTCTCGACGCGTGGGCTGGTGACGGGTGTTTGGGACCAGTCGAAGTACAACGAGGACGGTGGCAACTGGGAGCGGATCACCGGCACTTTCGTGACCACCCTTCGCTTCGGGACAGAGTCTCTGTTAGTTGAGAGCGCCCTGGCGCCTCTCGACGCCCTGATGCGCAGAGCGTCGGGTCTTGCCGTGAACGGGCAGGCCACGCGGAACCCTGACGAACCAGTGCGCTCACGGGTGTTGCTCTACCCTGAGCGCGGCCAGAAAGGTGGTAAAGGTGGAACGAGCGGCAAGGGCGGCAAGGGCGGCACTGCCGGCAAGGGCGGCAAAGGGAAGGGCAAGGCCAAGGGCGCCAGGGGCAAGAAGGGCGGCAAGGGCGGCCCAGGCGGCAAGGGGGGCGTGGTGCAGGCGCTGGGTGGGGCCAGGCCCGCCGGTCGCGTGCTCGCTCGCCCGGCTGCGGCCGCGCCTGCGGCCGACGCGGGGGCTGCTGCGGGCGGGGCGAGCGCGGTTGCCCCGGCGGCGCCGGCAGCGGCTGCCGCGGCGGCTGCGCCGGTGGCGGCAGCGCCAGTGGGAAGTAACTCCCGCTGAACGCCCACGTGCCCCGGGAGAGTGCATGATAATTCAAAGAACGCATGAGAATTTTACTGGTCGGGTCCTAGACGTTCATGGGTACAGTCCCGCGGGTAATTAGCATGGACGCAGTGGGCTACGACCCTGATTTGTAAGACTTGTATGACAGACTTGTATGACTTGTACTACTTGCATGACCAAGCCGTCCATGGATACATCGCTGCTTTATAATTGGCATGGACACCGGGGGCTACGCTGCCGACTTGCATGACTTCTTGTATCTCGCCGAGGGAGCGCTTGGGTGTCACGCATGGGAACCGAGACCCCGTCCTCAAGGATGTCCTTCTCGTCGCCTTCGTTTTGTTGTCGGATGCGGCTCGTTTATGTTTCTTTGTTCAAAGTGTGTGTTGGTGTGTGTGTGTGTGTGTGTTTGTGGTTTGTGTCCCTGGTGTTTGTGCCCTCAGGGTTGGTCCCCTTCCCTCCTCCCCCCTCCCCCCCCTCATCCTCCATCGCCTTCTACTTGATCCTAGGAGGCTGCCGGGTTCATCGTGAAGGCCGGGAGTCGCTTGCGGCTTTCATCCCGGAGGCGGAGGCGGAGGCAGGGCTCATTGGGCTCATGGGGCTCATAGGGCTCTCAGGGCTAATCGGGCTCATCGGGCTCATACGCCTCATAGGGCTCGTGGGGCTTTTAGGGCTCGTAGGGCTCAGACGGCTCAGTGGGCTCATACGCATCGTAGGGCTTTTAGGGCTCATAGGGCTCCTAGGGTGCGTGGGGCTCGTGGGGCTCGTAGGGCTCATGGGGCTCGTAGAGGTCATAGGGCTCCGTGGGCTCGTAGGGCTCGTAGGGCTCATCGGGCTCGTAGGGCTCCTAGGGCTCGTAGGTCTCGTATGGCTCGGGGGGGTCGTAGGGCTCATAGGGTGCTCTGGGTTCATAGGGCGCATTGGGCTCATTGGGCTCAGAGGGCTCATAGGGCTTATAAGGCTCGGCGGGCTCGTAAGGCTCATAGGGCTCATAGAGCTTATAGGGCTCCTTGGGTGCATGGGGATCGTGGGGCTCATTGGGCTCAAAATCTGGGAGAGAGCGGGATCCACCGCCGCTTTACTGTGGAAAATTCGGTCCCCCCCCTCTGAAAATCCCCCCCCCGTGCTGGACCACCCCCCCTCCTTCCCCCCGGCAAAACCTTCCCCTCCCCTAACACCCCCCCCATCCTCCGGAAAACCAACGGGGGGGGTCACTACTGGTTCGAACCCTCCCTCAGAAAACCAGACGGGGGTCACTGCTGGTTCGAACCCTTCCCCCCCGCCCCCCGCCCTCGAGAACCGGGAGGGGTCACTACCGGTTCGAACACCCCCCCCTCGAAAACCGGGGGGGGTCACTACTGGTTCGAATCCCCTCCCCCCCCTCGAAAACCGGGAGGGGTCACTACCAGTTCGAACCCCCCCCCCCTCGAAAACCGGGTGGGGATCACTACTAGTTCGAACCCCTCGCCCCCCCCCCCCACGCTCACCGCCAGCAAACGACTCCCGAGTCCCTACCACCGTCCGCATCACATACCCCACTGCTGTCCCCAGCACCACTGTCCTCACCACCACTGTCCCCACTGTTCCCACCGTCCCCACTGTCCCCACCAGTGCCCCCACCACTGTCGCACTGTCCCCGCTGTCCCCACCACTGTTCCCACCACGGTTCCACTCTCCCCACTTTCTCCACGGCCCAAACCACTGTCCCACTGTCCCCACTGTCCCACTGTCCCCGCCGCTGTCCCACTGAGCTGTCCCACTGTTCCCACCACTGTCCCCACCATCGTCCCCACTGTACCTCTGTCCCATTATCCCACCGCCGTCCTCGCCGCCGCCCTCACCACTGTCCCCACCACCACCGTACCCTCCACTGTCCCACTGTTTCCACCACATTCCCACTGTCCCCACACCACTGTCTCCACCACCCCCGTCCCCACCACTGTCCCACTGTCCCCACTGTTCCCACCATTGTCCCGCTGTCCCCACCAGTGCCCCCACCAGTGTCTCACTGTCTCACTGTCCCCACTCTCCCCACCATTGTCCCACTCTCCCCACTTTCCCCACGGTCCCCACCATTATCCCACTGTCCCCACTGTACCCACCACTGTCCCACTGTCCCCGCCGCTGTCCCACTGTGCTGTCCCACCGTCCCCACTGTCCCCATCACTGTCCCACTGTCCCCATTGTCCCCACCACTTTCCCCACTGTACTACTGTCCCACCACTGTCCTCACCACCGCCTTCACCACTGTCCCCACCACCCCCGTCCCCACCACTGTCCCACCTTTTCGCACCACTGTCCCGCTGTCCCCTCACCACTGTCCCCACCACCACCGTCCCCACCAATGTCCGCACCACTGTCCCCACCACCACCGTTCCCACCACTGTCCCAGCATCCCCACCATTGTCCAACTGTCCCGAAGAACGGGAATCGTTTACCAGCAGCGAGGGGGTGGGGGGGGGGGAGGGAGTTCGAACCGGGTGTGACCCCCCCCCGATTTTCGAGGGGGGGGGAAGGGTTCAAACCAGTAGTGACCCCCCCCGGTTTTTGAGGGAGGGGGGGGGAGGTTCGAATTGGTAGTGACCCCCCCCCCCCTTTTCATGATTAACTGGGGGGGGGGTGAGGAGGGGTTCGAACCGGTAGTGACCCCCCCTGGTTTTCGACGGGGGGGGACGGGTTGGGAACCCCCAGTGACCCCCCCCCGGTTCTCCGCCAGCAGCGGTAGAACACGTTCTTTCAAATCTGGGCTCGTGGGGCTCATAGGGCTCATAGGGCTTGTAGGGCTGATAGGGCGTACAGGGCCCATAGGGCTCATAGGGCTCACAGGGCTTGTAGGGCTCATAGGGCTCATAAGGCTCGTGGAGGTCGTACGCCCCATAAGGCTCATGAGGCTCGTAAGGCTCATGGAGCGCCACCAGGCTTACATTGCCCATCGGGCTCCTCGGGCTCATTGTTTTTTGTATGCAACGTGACCCTGGCCAGAAACTCCACAGCGGCTGCCTTTCTCGGCAGAGGTAGCTGCGCGAGAAGATCCAAGGTTCGCCTGCCCAGTGGTCTATGATACAACGGCAGCGGCTTTTCTTAGCCGAAAGGGCCGTCGGGGCATACAAAAGGGAGAGGAGTTCACTTGGCAACGGCAAGTTCAAGCTCCGTCGGCCTGCTCTAGCAGGCCGGTGAGGGCCGGAAAACCAGGTAACTCTGTTGCGAAGGGCGGCGTTCTGTACAGTGCCGTTGGTTCGCTCGGGTAGGAGACAAGGATGGTCAGAAGAGGGGAAGAGTTCTTCTCCTGTTCCTCCTGCGCCTTCTTCACTCTTATACCTCGGTCCGACCGTAACCGTCACAGCGGATCGGGACGCCGATGCTGGAGAGCTGTCTTTCACGACTCGGGTGCTGCTTGTTTCGGCAGGCGGGGCCTGCTCTCTGAGCTTGTCACGTGTATCACAAAATCGAGCCCTGCTCGAAGCACCGGCCTGGCTAGGCAGGCTGGCGGCGCGAAAAATGCGGGTGACCGAGTAAGCAAGGCCTCACGCGAAGTACCACTTCTGGTTCAGGCCGCCCTGGCACGGCTTCATGTGAAGGATTTCAGACTTATATAACTAATTATCTTTTCATCTCTTGCTTTACTTTCGCATCCTTCCACCGACCTTCCGTGAACTTCCGCATAATTGATGTTGACGGTTGGCTTCCGCAATCCTTCCGGAAACCTTTCGCCACCCAATACATGCGCCTAATTGATGTTGACGGTTGGCTTCCGCATTCCTTCCAGAAGCCTTCCGCCAACCTTCTGCCACCCCGTACATGCGCCCGTATGCCTTCACATGAACACTCATACGGCATCATGCGTAAACTTGTCTGCGACAAACACATCGGAGCACATCACAATATCAATATATAATTATGTGTGACGCACAGCTTTCACAATGAATGATCGTAAACTCTGCTTTCACATGATATACTAGTATGCTTTTGAACAGAAGATATGAACACAAAGCTGTCGACACAATGTCGGTCAAGGGCATCGCATTCACACTGGCGATGAATGCGCCGATTATAAATGATGAAGAGGCAAAAACAATATATACACATATATAATCATTTGACGGACCGTCGAAGCTGTAGTCAAGGCACTTGTCGTCCCACTTCGTCTTCATCTGTTCCCCGTCGATGTACCACTGCCGGTTGGCTCTGCCGTGACAGTGGTACATATACATATTGCTGTTGCCCGTGTTGCACTCCAAACATTTGGTGCCCCGCATGCTCCCCAGCACCTTGCCCTCGAAGAGCACCTTCTTGAGACACGACATACCCTGGCCAAAGTCTCGTGAAGCCCTGATCTTTCTGTTGATGGAATACCGTCAAGTCATCCGGGTTCCAGCAGAAGGCCTGACATTGGGCACTGCTCGCGCATACCCCCTCCCAACCCGCGGCGCTCGCAGAAGAAATGTTAACGTCGATGCAGAGATAGTTACCCCTTGCCAACCTCTCGACCGACGACTTCCAGGTATTGTTGCCGACACTCACGCTCTGCACCGCCTTAGAAGAGGAGCAACTTTCTTTGTCCACCTTGTCGCCACTCTCAGCCGCGGGGGCTTTGAGAAGGACCTCCCCTCTGCACTGGAGCTTGGCGAGATGATCGGGAGGCGCGCTTGGTGAGCTTGCCCTGAAAAGGTGGGTTGCCCCACCATCGGCGAAGACGGTCTCAGTCAGGCCCCTATGACCCAGGACCTTGAAAGTTTGGAGCTTGGCGTCTTTGAAATGGCACGCGTGGCCCTGCTCGCGGTCGAAGCCAGAGGCGGGGAGCGGGCAGGCACCATCCTGCTGCTGCGCGCCGTAGAACTTTTGCCATGCCGCCAGAGCCTCGGCCTCGCACTTCTGTCCTGCAATGAAATGCAATGAAATCGTGGAGCCCCCCGGTCGCAATCCGCGCAGACTCTCGGCGCGTCGGCAAGGATCCGCTGCCGCTCTCCACAAAAGAACCTGCATCTACGTCTCCACCCGTGGCGCGGACAAGAAAGCTCCGTTTGCATCTGGTCGTCATCCGTCTGCCTCCGCCCGAGCACCGCAGCCCCCGCCGATGCGCTGTGGATGGTGCGCCCGTCGTGGTCGACGACCATGGCCCCTGCGCCTGCGCTCGCAACCTTGGGCGCCAACGCCTTCGAATTGCATGAATGCCAGCACAACGGCCCAGAACGAAGCCATTCCCGTCACTGGTCGTGTGCCCGCGCTTTCTTTTCAGATGCCAAACCGCCAAATCAAGCTGTTCGAGCTGATTGAACGAACGCCTTGGGCCAAAATGGCTACGGACGGTGCTCCTCGGGCTCATGGGGCCCATAGAGCTCCGAGGGCTCGTAAGGCTCATGGGCTCGAAGGGTTCAGAAGGCACGTAAGGCTCATGGGCTCGAAGGGTTCAGAAGGCACGTAAGGTTCATCGGGCGAATAACGCGCATACGCCTCACAGGTCTCGTAGGGTTCATAGGGCTTGCAGGCCTCATGGGGCAACTCTGAGTGTGACCGAGTCGCAAGAGTGAGTGCGAAGAGGAGGAGGAGGAGGAGGAGGAGGAGGAGGAGGAGGAGGAGGACGAGGAGGAGGAGGAGGAGGAGGAGCCCACGCCTCGGAGGGGGGCGCGGTCTGTCAGCCGCCCGCGCCTAGCCCCCAGCGCCGGCGCGCGAGCCGACGGCCAGCTCAGTGACGCTGACGCCGCCGTCCTCGTCCAGGGCGGCAGCGACGGTCTCGCCGTCAAGATGATCTTCAGCAGGTGGTAGATCACCAGCAGAAACAGGTACAGGGCGGACTGGAGCAGGCACAGGCAGCGATCCATGTTGCCCTTGACCCGCAGGAAGTACACCACCAGGCAAGGACGCAGCCGCCGAACCAGCCGAAGGCTCCACCCCCTCAGTGTCGGCGGTGAACTGCGCAGCCATCAGTAAATTGAAAGCATCTTGATCCTCATCAGCCTCTCCAGCTTCATCCTCAACGTCGTGCATGCTGCAAGCGTCCACGTCAGGCACTTCCATGCTTTCAGCTTCGGCCTGTGCCATCATGAGCTCGTCCACGCCCACCACTCAGTCGTCGAGGGACGTGGCCTCGGCACCGAGTACAGGAGGAGCGGGAACGTCCTCAGCATCGCCATCCAATCGAGAGCCTGGGTTGTGCAACATCCAGATCACAAGCTCGCGCTGCTCTGCAGAAAGATGGTAATTTTCATGCAGATATCGAGTAGCTACCACAATCTGAGCTGGTGAAAGAGCCTCTCCATGTACCGCAGCAGGAGAAGAACCCTCATGCGCCACTGTGATCGCAGACCGTGCTAGAGCACTGATAGTTTGGAGCGCCCGCAGTTGTAGCATAGCTTGACGTTCCTCATCGCCGTCACGATGAACTGGAGCACCAGATCCTTCTTCAGGCATGTGTGGCGGCGACGTTGACGCAGCCGCAGGTGAAGACGAGACAGCCGAAGGCCGAAGCGCCCCCCCGAGGGAGCCGTCTGGGTAGATAACGCCAAACCCATAGGTAGCCATCGTTTGATTGAAATCATCATCAGAGCTATCATTGGCAGCCACTGGCGAGGAAGGGCGCGCAGAAGAAGTCCAAGTAGGAGGAGACGACGCCGAAGCCGCAAGAGGTGCCGATGAAGAGGCCGCCTGATAGAACTCCTCGTCAGAGCTAGCGTCGGCAGCGACTGGCGAAGAAGGGCGTGACGGTGAAGTCCAAGTTGGGGGAGCAGCTGCCGAAGCCGCAGGCGGAGCTGACGAAGAGGCCGCAGCATCACCGCCTTGATCACGCCTGAGAGACTCCCGAGACCTGCTCAAGATCAGCTACACTTGCGCTTCAAACTCTTCGTCGGTGAGGATGGGGCCGAAGTGGGGCGAGAACTCTCCAGCATCCATTGTCTCATTCTCGTACTCGTGCGGCGGAGAACCCCCAGGTGCAGGCGCCGCCGTGGCATTGGCAGCCTCGACCATACTCTCGATGTCCTCGTCGGTTGGGTTGGGATAGCCGTCCGCATCAATACTTTCGTTGTCCTCGTCAGGCAGATGGGCAGAGGCAGCTGCTGACGCGGCATCCAGAAGGGCTTGCTCATGAAGGTGTGGAAGCAGGAGCAAATCAGGGGCCGCACCCTTTGCAGGGCCAGGAAAGAACGCGCGGCGAACTAGCTGAAAATTCTCGCGCTCTTCTGGTGGCATCCTCGTGACATCAGGGCACCAATCCAACTGCCGCAGGTGCGCCAACCCCTGGCGCCGTAGCGCTGCAAGCCGGCGCCGTTCATTGGGCGGCCACGGGTCGCTGAGTTGTTGACGGAACCGCTCCCTCGGTATAGCGCCTTGGTGCCACCCATGCAAGCAAAGATCAATGGCAAGCTCCCAGCGCTTCGCCCCGTCCGACATCGTGTTGGCAGGGTATTGCAGAATATCTTCGAAACCGCCATATCGCAACGTGTTCGCGGTGTAAGGAACGCACCATTCCACCCACTGCTGAAAGTCGCTGCCGCTAGTACTGACAAGCAAACTCGGAACCCATCTCAGAGACCACAAACCAATGCGATCCAGAAGAGCCGTATATTGAGGGTGTCCAGGGAAGCACGGAGGAAGAGGATCACCTCCTGCAGCACCGACAAGAAGCCAATCACCGTCACATTTTGGGCGAATGCCACCTCGCTTTCCCGAAGAGCCACAATCTGAGGGTGTCCAGGGCGGAACTGAGGAAGAGGGTCACCTCCCGCAGCACCAACGAGTGGCCGAGCGCCGACGCGACCCGAGCGAATGCCGCAGCTGCTTTCCACCTCCCAGATATCTACAGCCAACTCATCAGCACGACGGCGCAAGTCCTCGGCAACTAGCGACCCAAAGCCCCGCAGCTCAGGAAGAAGGGACCAAGATTCAGGCCGAAGGAGTTGGATCTCTTCTTCGATGTCGAGCGCACCCACAGCAAACGACGCAGAACTATGAGACCACCAACGGAGCTCCGAGAGAAGTTGGGCCCGCTCATGTGCCACCTTGAGCCAGCTGCTCGATTGCGATTGCTGTAATGCTGCGTAGTGTTCGACGAGCCTGAGACGACCAGCACGAGAATGGTGCCACTCTACATGAGCCACGCTTGAAGCCAGCGCAGTTCGTTCTTCCAAGGCAGCAAAAGGCTCGCTGAACAATCCCACGAAGCGCTTGTAGCGAAAGACGATGCTCAGGAAGTCCGTTGTCCACTTCATCCAGTCTTCGAAATCTGTCAGGCCATTGGCAACGAAGAAGAACGAGCACAGCCAATTGCGCGCCCATGATTGCACCAAAGAGCCTAATTCCGCCAACCGCGCACTCCTGATGGGGCCGCACCCACTCGGCTGTAGGATGGAGAATTTGGCTTCACCCCATGCTGGCGGATAGCGAACACGCCCAGGTAGACAGTCGTGCAGTGAGTGATGGCTACGTGGTAAATCAACCCTGAGTACTGGAGGCCACTGGACAACAGGGGATGGCGGTTCAGGTATTCCCGTCGTACCCAGTTGCTGCCGCGGACGAAAGTGGGTCCTAGTCCGCCCAGCCTTCGGGGACGCCAAGGCTCGTACACGAATAGCACCCCGCGCTGTATGGAGAAGACGCTCAGGGCTGACGTAATCCAGATGCCGTACTTCGTGGTCGATGATGGTGGCGAGCTGCAGGTTCATCAGATCGTCGTCATATGCACCGCGGATGCCCCACCGATCCGGAACGTTGCGAGGCAGTTCGATGCGGCCACCCGGCTTCGCCATAGCAGTGCCCCACGCGAGACCGCGGCAAGCAAGGTAATGGCTAATCTCATCTGAGCAGCCTTCGCAACCAAAGATACATGACCGAGGCCCAGACGGCGACGAAATCCTCGACGACGCGAGCCAGCCCCCGCACAGGCCGCGGAGCAGCGCTGACGCCCAGGCCGTGGGGTAGGTGGCCATCTTGTCTTGCAAATATTTCCAGTCGATCTGTGTGAGATCATCCACCAGGGAAGGAAACAATTTGGACCACCGTTTGACGATCGTGACCACCAGCGGCGAGTCAGTGTTGTACTTGATGGTTGGTCAGAAACGGCCGCATCATGTCCTGAAGTAGCGCTACATAGGCGGCGCGTTGAACTGCATGACGAGCATCTGGGAAATATGTGAGGAGTGCGCGCGCCGCAACAGCACCCGAAGAGGCAGTGCGTTGCGAGGCCGAAGCCAAGTATTCCACATAGGCTGGCTGATCCCAGAAGTGAGGAGACATAAGATTTCGAAGATCAGCAAGTACTCGGAAAGGGGCCCAGCGTTCGGCTGCTACTTGAAGACGATGAAGGTAACGAACGTGCTCAGGATGGGAGGTGAGTGCCGAACGAATAAGCACCGAACCACACACTGGACCAAGAGCACGTAGCTTGGGGCCACCCCACTGGCCAAGACAATGAAAATCCACATACCGAAGGGCGCCACCAGGCAACCGCAGAAGCCGCACGACGTTGTGAATATCTTGTTGCAGTAGCCGCTGGGGGAGGGGAGCGAACTGGGCCACGTAGGACAGCGTGGGTAGCGCTCTGGCGATGTAGTTGATTGCACTCAAAGAGGCCGGCGCAGCCGACGAAGAAAGCGCAGAAATGCGTGTTCTGTATTTATCCCACGGGCTCAGCCAAGAGCATAAATCGGTAACGGCGGGTCCCAACCACATGCCCAGGTAGAGCAGCTTCGCCTCGATGCGAAAGGCGAGCCAGCGCGGCACCAGTTGTTCAAGCCCCATTCGCAATCCGTCCCTCAGTTCGCCGCCAAACGCCCCCGCGAGCGGGGCGATAACGCACTCCGGTGGCTTGAGCTTCAGGTTGGCATTTTTTTTCAGCCACCGCCATGACCCGTGCCAAGAACCGCAGGTCCACCAATGCGAATAACACTCCACCGATATCATCAGCGCATGCACGAAAGAGACCACGATGTTCGAGCTCCAACCCAATCCGAAGATCTTCAAGAAACGGCCATGTGGCTGCCGCGAACAGGCTACCAGACAACGCACAACCTTGGATGACGCCGCACTCAATGGCAAAGAGATCCGTAGTAATCCCACCAACCCGCCCCACAGCAGTGACAGACGCATACAGCGAACAACGGGCAGAAAAGAGAGCATCAGGAAGTCGAAGCTGTTTGAGCACCGTGAAGAGGTATTGCTGGCTCAAGCTGGGGAACGCCTGGCCGAAGTCGAGTGCCGCCAAGATCGGCTGCTGAACCCTCGCCCGAGGATGAAGGGACGGAATCCTCGCCATGACGTCGAGCTCAAGAATGTTCGAAGTGAACTGCCTGCCCGCGATAAATCCCCGCTGCGTCCTTGATGTAGTTTGCTGTGCGATCGGCGAGAAAGCCACATTAAGCGTTGCTGAGATGACCTTCGCATCAGTATTGCGGAGGCCGAGGGTGCGCACAGTGTCAGGGGAGCGAACGACCCCACGCTCATCATCGTCTCCAGCATGACACCCTTTGGGAAGAAATGCCTGCAGCGTCGCACCCGCCGACGGGAAGAGCAACTGGCCATCCATCATCCAGCGACAAGCCTGCCATAAGACCTCAGCTCCATGCTCGCGCGCTGCCCATGCAACACAGGGGAGGCCGTCCACTCCAGGAGCAGAGCGCGAGGGTGCCAAACGCCTCAAGGTACGCAGAAGCATCTGGCACGACGGCGGGGGCAAATCATCGAACACACACGATTTGACAAACCTCTGGGCGCACCTCTCAGCATGAACAGGGTGTGCAGGTGGGCGAGCAGACACAGGTGCCCAATAGCTGACCAATGCGTTCAACTTCTCGGTAGGATCAGAAAGCTGCTGGTCGCCCACCTGAATGGCGCGCAGCGTGAGTCGCTCGCCGAAGGGGGCCCAAAGCTTGGCTTTCCTTTGTGCTGCAGAAGAGTGTCAGGAGAGACCTTCGCGCGGCCTTTCCCATGTAGAGCACCTTTTTGGAGAACTGCGAGTTGTTGCTCAGCCGCTCGATGTTGAATGGTATCCACCCGACCTTGAAACACCGATGGATGCACCAACTGAACCAGCCCCTCGGGGGTGATGTTGACGCAGCTATCGAAGACCTCGGATGAGTTGGCAACCTTCTGAGCCAGCCGCGCATCCTGCCGCCAAATAGCGCGCGCAGCTTGCCGAGCGAAAATCAGCTGGGCTTCAGGTTTGTCGATGTCAGTAACCAGTATTTGCTGGAGCGTGTCATATGCCGCTGCGTCTATAAGCACCTTGTACCTCTCCATCTGACGAGGTGGAGACATGTCTGTAAAGAAACGCCCACCTTGGCGCAGAAGCTTGTCGAGTCGGGCGCGAAAGTCATCGCACAGATATACAAAACGCGGAACAGGGCGCCGATAGCTATCGTCAAGGGAGCGATGCTGAAGATGGACCCGAAGGGCAGCATGGTCCGAAATGCGCTGTTCGCTGAGACGCTCAGGGGACGAAACAACAGCCGCAGAGTGACGAAGTTGACAGGCGACCCATCCAGGCTCGGATAACCAAAGACGATCAAGCTGAGCTACAGTATGAGATTCCTTGCAATAGTGCGTAGGGTCTTCCGCCGAAATCTCAATCATCTTGCCCAGCGCCACCAACCAGCTCTTCATATGCGTGCGATTGTTGTTGGTCGGACGGGTCGATCGCTTCAGGCTCGGCTGAGAAAGGTGTAGTGGCTCCGATGCAGCAAAGTTGAAATCACCACAAACTACTACCAATCTTGACTGAGGGTCAGCTTGTGCCCACTCCAAGCCTGTTGAAATGAGAGCAGATATACGCTGAACATCGCCCTGATGAAGGTCGTGGTTGTGCACGTTGTAATGGCGAATCTCAGCATGTGCTCCAACCAGCCACGTCTTGAGCACCCGACCTGAAACCAGCGAGCGAGAAGAAGACGCCGCCAGCGAGTTAGCAGAAAGCGGCACCACCGTCGCCACACCACCTCGCGCTTGGCCGCAGGCGTCAGTGTCGAACGGGCCGAAGACAATGACCTCTGGAGCGATCCGCCGCAAGAAGAAGCGAAGCTCGTCCAACGACTGATGCACCTCTTGTAAGGCAAAAACAGACGACGAGATCCCAGCTAGCTGTAAGTACGCAGCATTAGACATCGCTTGCATGCCACGCCAACGAAGAAGCGCGCGGGCGTTCCACGTGACAAAGGACAGCTCAGAGCACTTTAGAGGGATACCGCCAGTGGCCTGATGCAGAAAGATGTCGTCGCAGGTGCTAAAGAGACCACTCTGGCGCCACCGTTGGCGCAGCGATAGGATCAAGGAGGCGCCGTAGCTCTGCACGCGACCATTGCCGTGCAGTGATCGCCGCACCATGCCAGAAAATCTTCGTGGGGTCGCGACCAGGCTGCGGCTCGATTCTGACGATTGGGTTCCAACTCTCAGTGATCCACCCATTTTGACGATCGAAGAAAAATTTGGCGTCTTTGAACTCATCGCGAAGTGCTGCAACCATTCTTTTTCCTGTGATCTCCATCTTGATCTGGAACGGATTCTTGTCGGGGCCGATCTGTAGTTGGGTGCTGCCCCCACTGGCTGCGGGTAAGGGGAAGCGCATCCATTGGCCTTTATCTGGTAGACGAAGGGCAGATAACGCGGCAGCAACCTTCTTTCCCGCGATACCCACTGCCCCAGAGAACTGGATCGTGAAGAGCTTGTCTTGGTCGTCGCCCAGAATGGTGAAGCCGTCGATGCTTGCACCTTCGAGCCATTTATCCACCGAGTCCTGAACGTCACACTTCTTGACGAGGGTAGGGGCAACGACCTTGAGAATCGTACCATGCACCGCACGATTGAACCCAGGTGTTGGCTTAGGCGGTGGTGGGGATCGATTTGCGACCGCCAACTCTTTGCGAAGTTCGTCAACCAGGGACTTGAGCTGCTCCATGTCAGTAGCCAGCGTCTCTGTGCGGGTGTCAATGTCACGGACCTGCGATTGGATGGCGTCGATCTGCAACTGTAGTCGTCTCTGCATGGCCTCGAGCTCGGGACGAAGCTGCGCCTCCAACTGGGCCTTACATGTTTGCGGTACTTGCTGAACGGCAGTTTCCACTCCTTTGATGGCGGCCATGACGGGGTCGACAGCAGACGAGGCGGCCTTGCTGGCAGACGCGGTGACCAGCTCGGTAACCTCGCTCTGGAAGATGCTGAACTTGGCCTGCAGTTCGCCGTGAATGAGGCCCTTGATGTGTTCTTCCCAGCCATCCGAATCCATGAAATCCTCTTCACCATCACTGGATGCACCTCGATTGGAGCGGGACCGAGCGTCGTCGTCACCAGCGGCTGCAGGCTGTGTCTAGATACAGCCGAAGCGCGGGTGCCGCCGGGAGACGCTAACTTTGGCAATCCCGTGAGGAGTTTGGACGAGGCTGCGCATCCTCCACCTCGTTCGCATCAGTTCCGGAGTGTCTAGCCGCCATCGCTTATGCAGCCCGAGCGGTACACTTGGAAGTATTGGAAATCAGGGTGGTCTTGGAAATACTTGAAATCTGAACGTATCGTATCACCTCTTGCTCCGCTGAGCTGTGCGAGCATTCCGGAGGAATCCCACAACCACCGTGCAGCAGGCAGTGGCTGGATCGAGCCGTCGTGGATCTCAGACCAGCTCGGGCGGGAGTCGCAGCTCGGAGGTCGGCCAGAGCTGCCGCCGGCTGCCCCTGGTGCTGGCAATAACCTGAGAAGGCCTGTCCTTCACGAAGGCGCAGAGCGCGGCCTCGGTCGCCTCTGAACCAAACCCAGGCACGGTCGCGGGATCCGCATCCTCATCCTCATCCTCATCCTCATCCTCCTCATCAACATAATAATCGTCATCATCCTCAACCTCATTACACTAACCGTAGACCTCCTCGGCCGAACCATTGATCTGGGACCCACCCGCACAGCCGCACGCCCTGCCTTGCCTGAAGGAAAGGTGGCAGCAGAGGCGGGTGGCAGAAACGGGCCCGCTCCATTCTGAAGATAATGGAACACAGCCGAGTTTTAAGAGGGTGGCCGAGAGCGGCACAGTGGTGCTCCGCAGCCTCATGCTGCGGGGCACTGGAGCACTCTTGAAGCTGCGCATCGGCCATGAGGAAAAAGTGTTCCTCCACCTCCCCCGCCTTCTGATCCCCCTCCTCCTCCTCCTCCTCCTCCTCCTCCTCCTCATTACTGCTAGTCACACAGCGCATCGCAAAAAGTTGCCCTGGCAGGCGAGCGCGAAAAAGTAGGCTGTTCCACTCTCCTGCGAGGCCAGCTCGGCCCGGTGCATGCTGCTCTGGCCAGTTTGTTCCGCACTAGAAGACCCTAAAGCACATCGTCCCGTGCTCGGGGTGCTTGTCGAATAACCACCCCCGCCCGTCCTCAAGCCTCAAGAAGAGTTCGTCATCTAAACCTTTCACTATCAGGTCCACTCTGAAAGACTCCTCTGAGTACACCTTGTGTTCCGTCTTCTCTGAATCAATATTGGGTTCTGTACGGATCGCAATGGGTGCTCCGTTTACTGGCCGGTACTCCCACGTCTCGTCAATCATCCTCTTACACAATATGTCCCCGTCTTCATCTTTCTGGTCGAACACCCACCCCCGCCCGTCCTTGAGCTTCAAGAAGAGGATGGTGCCGGTGTCTTCAGAGGCCTGTATCTCACTCACGGAGAATTTTTCGCCTGGCTCCAACGTCTGACCCGTTTGCTCCCCATCGATGAAAGCACTGTCTCGGATGGCCATGGGCCTCCCGTTCTCGGGATCGTAGAGCCAGAGCTCGTCCACCGGCTCGAAAAGCTTGTAGCACAGCTCTAGGCCAGGTTCCCGGTCCAACACCCAACCCCTGCCGTCGGCGAGGCACAGGAACGTGCACTGGCCCTCGCCTCCAGCGAGCTCCTCGATCTCAACGCCTCCTTCAACGGGAACAGGCTGTTCGACCATCGGTGGCCCTTCTTCTGCGCTAACCTCGAACTTCTCGCCCGGCTCCAGCGTCTCGCCTGTTTCTGCTGCGTCGAATTCGGGCGCTGATAGGGTGACGATAGACCGACCATCCTGCGGCTTGAATATCCACTCGTGGCCGTCGAGCTCCTTCTGTCGCACCCTCGGCGCACGGGACGACGACTTCATGCAGTTACTGCAGCAGCTTTGGCACTGCCTGAGGGAGTTCTCGGCCGTAGCCCTGAGCTCGTCCAGGCCGTTATTTTTGCTGATGAGGAAGAATAGGCACACCAGACAGATGCAGCACATGGCGATCCCAAACATAAGGCTGAGCACCACCATCCACGCCGCGGGCCCGTCGTCGTCTTCAGAATGACCAGCCATGTGCGCCTGGCTGTCGCGCGAATCGCAGCCCTTCTTCTCGGTCTCACAGCAGTACGTCTTCTTCTCGGCAGACCACCCAGCAAACCTCTGGTCGTAGCCCGCGGCGCAATCAAACTCACAGCCCTTCCCCTCCTTGCTGCAGCAGTGACTCTTCTTCCGCTCGGACCACCCGAAGGCCCAGCTGGAGTAGCCCGCATCGCAGTCGAAGTCCACCTCCTCACCATCGCCGCCCGCACCGCCATCGCCGCCCGCACTGGCGGTGCTTCCGTCACCAGCGCCGCCCGCACTGGCGGTGCTTCCGTCACCAGCGCCGCCCGCACTGGCGGTGCTTCCGTCACCAGCGCCGCCCGCACTGGGGGTGCTTCCGTCACCAGCGCCGCCCGCACTCTTTTTATTTGCGACGGCGTCCGCGGGGGCCGGCGCCGGCGTCGGCGCCGCCGTCGTCGGCGGTGGCGGCGGCGCTGGCGTTGCCGGTGGCGCTGGCGCCGGCGTTGGCGGCGCTGGCGTTGGCGCCGCCGTCGTCGGCGGTGGCGGCGGCGCTGGCGTTGCCGGTGGCGCTGGCGCCGGCGTTGGCGGCGCTGGCGTTGGCGGCGCCGGCGTTGGCGGCGCCGGCGTCGAGAAGCTGTAACCGCCACCGGAGGTCCCGTAGGAGTCAGGTTTAGCTGGCACGACGATGAAGCTGAAGCTCGGAAGGGTCTTGCTCACTGGTTGTTCGAGCGTTATCTTGCCATCTCCAACGCTCTTCACTGTCGCTTCCTCGTTCTCGGCGCTGCTGTCGTCAGTGTCGATGATGACGATGTGGCTTCCCACCTGAAAGACGTCCGTATTCTGCACGGAGAGCTCGGTGTCTCCCTCCTTGATTTCTGCCGTGCAGAGGGTCCCCAGATCTTCCGTGTTAGCGTTATTGTTCTCCAGCAGGGAGTGAAACCTCCTTGTCTGCTTCTGACCCTGCCGCTGGGGGCGATCGGCATGTGTTGCTGCCGCGCGTTGCCAGGGGGACACCTGGCTGGCCAGCACGAGGCTGGCGAGGAGGAGGACCGCCACGGCCGCCACGAGACCAGCCCTGAGCCGCCCCTGCTGGGGAGGGCGGGCCTCGCCCAGCGGCGCCGCCGCCCCCTCCTCGACGTTGAACTCGTCGTCGTGGCCCGGGACCTGCTCCATGCCTCGGTGCTCCATTTCCTCCGCTGTGGCCCCGTATCTTGAGGGCGGCGGCCTCGCAGCGCAGAGCTTGTTACCACTTCAAGCCCAGGAGGCCTTGAGCCAAAATGGCTACGGAAGAAGAGGAGGAGGAGGAGGAGGAGGAGGAGGAGGAGGAGGGAGAGGGAGGGTGAGGAGTGAGATGGACCGAAATCCCACCAGCCCTCTGGGCGTCGGTGGTTTAGGGAGTTTCCTCTTCCACCCCCCCTTCTTCCCCTTCGGGGGGGGGTACCCCTCCCCCTACCCCCTCCCCTGGACCTGGACAGGGGGTTCCGCGAGGTGTCGGAGCGTCCAAAGCAGCCTCGGCGAGGAAGCCAAAATCATTGGTTCTACTAGGGTGTTGGCCCCATGTTGGCCTCTTGGGGGGGGGGCCTAATTAAAACTCCCCGCTTGTTTGATCGATCTCCTCCACGATGGCCCCAAGAAGCGCCCAGGAGACCCCGAGAGGTCCCAAGATGTCCCAAGATGGCCCCAAGATGGCCCCAAGAGACCCCCAAGAGGCCCCCAGGAGCCCCCCAAAGCACCCCAAGCGGCCCCAAGAGGCCCCCCCGAGGCACCCAAGACGCCGAAGAGCCCCCCACGACCGCCACGAGACCCCCAAGACGTCCCAAAACGCCCAAGAGATACCCCAAGAGGCTCCGAGAAGCATCCAAAAGACCTCTGGCCCTTTTGCTTGCTCTCTTCCTCCCCCTTCCTCCTCCTATCCCTTCTCATCCTCCTCTTCCACCTCCGCCTCCTCCTCCTCATCATATTCATCCTCCTTCTCCCTACTGCCTCATCCATCCATCCAATGTTCTCTTTCGCCCCCCTCTCTCCTTCACACGGTTCGGCCGTCCCCCTCTTTGCTCCCGCGCTTCCCTGATCCTCTCAACTCGCCTGGACATCGTTTCTGGGTGGGCTGGTGGGGATACTTTTTAGTCAGAGGCCGCGGGCGAGCGCGCTGGCGGCGAGTCAGGTCAAAGCGGGCTACGCAGAGACGAATTAGGCAAAGGAAACGCGGGACAACAAACATAGCAACGCGCGGGGCGACGGCTAAGCGCGGCCGAGGCCTCAGGTGGGTGGCTGAGGGGACTGAGACTGAGAGGAACTGCCAGCGTCGGAGGCGCCAAACGTCGGCAAGTCAACGACGGCCAGGAACAACTCCGAGAGAGAAAACGTGATACCGTACTCCGACGACTGCGTGGGCACCAGGGTGGCCGTGGCCAACGAAACGCCGGTCGAGGTAGGAAAGAGAAATGAAAAGGCGAGGCCCCGGACGTCGCGAAGCGCGAGAACCAGGGTGGTCCAAAGGACCGTCGGCCAATGAATTGTTGCCAGGAGGCGAGAGCGTTGGCAGGCTGCAACTCCCAGGGTGGTGGAAGCCGAGAGACCCCTGGCAGCAGTACGCACGAGCGCGGGGAAGCGGCATAGCCGCGACGCAAGCCAAAATGGCGCGGGTCACCACGTACCTGTGCGAGGGAAGGTGTCAGGTTGACCCAACACGGGCCCGACTAGGCACAACGCACAAGGCTGACACCAGGGATGACGAGCGTACGAGTACCTCGGGTGAGCGGAAGCCGACCAAAGACCATCCGCACGCTCGGAATACTGGACAAGACGAAGCCGGGACGGCCGCTAGCCCAGGATGAGGAACCGCGATTTGAGCGGAAAGGCCGAAGCCGGAGCGGTGGGGGGACAGCACCACCACAGCTGGTGGGGATACGCGAGGCGTCTAGAATATGTTGACGAATGATGATGACTGCGTGAGCCGAGACGTGATGTCGCAAGCAACGACAACGAGAGCAGGGATGATGCCAAAACAGAAGGGGTTGATGCAAACATACACCTTCCACAATTCCGAGAGTTTCCGTCGCAGAAGGTCTTGGCTAAATTCTATCAGGAAGAGCTTCCAGAAGCTCTCATACTTCGCTTGAGTCTGGTTTGTGGAATAGGCCCGGGCAAGGAGCCAGTTAAGCAAGCTACGCATTGCAAATATTGGTGAGCCATCGCAGGCTACGCAGTCCAAGCTGCGCGGCGCAGTCTGGATGGCGTTAAGAACCACACGGCGCAAGCTACGAGGTGTTGGCCCTGTGGCGCTGGCTATAACATGTACATGTACAGGAATGCGTGCGGTGCGAGGCGACGCAGTGGCAACCGTGGAGTCTTCGTCGGACATCGCGTTTTCGCTGAGCTGGCCATCCTCGAAAGTAATAACGTCATCGGAGGGAACAGCGTCTTCGGAAGCAACAGCGTATCGAGAGAGTCTTCGGGAGGAATAGCGTTCACGGGTGGGATAGCGTCTGCGTGGGATCGCGCCTTCGCGGGAAAAAGCGTCTTCGAGGGGAACCGCGTCTTCAGCAGGAATAGCATACTCGGGGAGAGTAGCATCTTCAACGGGAATAGCGTCTTTGCCCGGAAAAGCATCTTCACCTCAGGGCCCCGTTAACCCGGACACGCTAGACCCGGACACACAACATCCCTCGAAACCAATTTTTGTCCAGACGGCGGCACGAACAAAATACTGCACTGCAGCATTTCCATCATAAACCCGGACACAGGCTGCATTTCCATCATAAACCCGGACACAGGCTGCAAAAAGCTGCAAGACCCCCTAAACCCGACACGAACTCGAATACTGCAGTGCAACGAAACAAAACAACACGGGTGCTGGAAAATGTGACTTTGCAGGAAAAGGTACCGTTTCCTTGGTTTTTCCCGTGTCCTGATTTATCTGTGTCCTGGTCTCATCTGGTCTCTGGGGGCTTGATCACCGGAAATTGCGTCTTCGCCGGGAATAGCGTCTTCGCTGGGAATAGCACCTTCACCGGGAATAGCGTCTCCAGAAGGGACAACGTCTTCACCGAGAATCGCGTCTTCAGAAGGAATAGCGTCTTCGCAGGGAATGTCGCTTTCCCCAAGAATTCTGTCTTCGCAACAGTTCGCGCTTTCGACTTTCGTCTGCGCCCAGGCTCCGCCTGCGCAGGAACTCACGGACACCGAACCCAGTGGGATTAGTTAGCGTCTTCGCCAAGGACAACGTCTTCAAGCGCCTTTCCGTCTTCGGGCGCATTTGCGTCTTCAATGTGATAGCGTCTTCCAGCGCATTTGCGTCTGCCCCGTCTGGTTGTGCAATTCCGTCTTTAAATGGAAAAGCGTCTTCGCCCGCCCTATCGCCCTCAGCCAATTGCATCTTCGAATGGCGTCGTCGTTTTCGGCCAAACCGGCACACCCCAGTTACCACCCCAATGTATATATCTACATACATATCTATATATATATATATAAATTAGAACCATCGCGCGCGCTTCGCGCGCGCTCAGGTTCTAGCAGGCCCCAGGCCTTGACGAATTCACTGCTCCACTAAAGTAGTGCACCACAATCCACGCATGCCAATCTGCATTCCGAAAAGCCTTCGGGGGGCGGAGGCCGTATGAATCGGGTTCCCAGAAGGCCTTCTGGGAGCATGGGTTTGGGGGGAGTCTTGGGGAGCCTGTTGGGCGTGCCGTCGTCGTCGTCGTCGTCGTCGTCGTCGTCGTCGTTGTCGTCGTCGTCGTAATGTCGTCGTCGCCTATTGGGGCGCGCCGTCGTCGTCGTCGTCGTCTTCGTCGTTTCGTCGTCGTCGTCGGTTCAAGAAGGCACTTGGGGCAACTTTGTGCGAAACGATCTGCGGAGGGCCGCGAGAAGGCGATCAATCATGTTCCCAATCAACTTCCCAGACAGCTCTCATGTAGCATGACGGTACTTCGAAGCATCCAGAGACTCGCGGGCCCATAATGAACCATGTCCCCGGAAGGCTTTTTGGGGACATGGCTTGTTGGGGTGTGTTGGGGGATCTCTTGGGCGTTCCCTGGGGGGCCCCTTGGGCCTCCGGGAACTCTCGGGCCCATGATGAACCATGTCCCCGGAAGGTTTTCTGGGGACATGATTTCTTGGGGTGTGTTGGGGGGCCTCTTGGGCGTTCCCTGGGAGCCCCTTGGGGGTCTCTTGGGGCTTCCAGGGGGCCTCTTGTGCGCTTCACGGGGCTTCGTGGGAGCCTCTTGGTGGCCTCTGGGTGCCTACAGGCGGCCTCGAGGGCCAGAGACCTCGAAATATCGGTTGGCGGTCCCCCTCTGGGCCCTCTCTTCGGGAGCTCTTGGGGCACAGTTAGGTTGTTTTGGGGACCTCCTGGGCCGTCTTGGGACCCTCTTCGGGGCCTCGTGGCCCGTCTTGGAGCGATCTGAAGGGCCTCCGAGCGAGGCCGTGAGGGAGCGCTGGGAAGCGGGGAAAGAAAGCGAGAACGCCTAAATCCTTTAACAACCATAGGAAAATTAATGAATCTTGCCTCCCAGGGCCCTCTTGGGGAGCCTCTTGAGTCCGTCCTGGAGCGTGTTGGAGTCCTCGTCGGCCGTCTTGAGGGCAGCTTGGGCGTCTTCGGGGCCTCTTAGGATCGTCCAGGGCCCTCTCGGGACCTCCATTAGCCTGTCGTCGCCTGCTTCGGGGCGGGCCCGACCTGAGCCCTGAGCCCAAAGTGGCTCGGCCGTCGCCGTGGTCGTGGCCGTCGTCGTCGTTTGCCGATCGGCGGCGTCAACTGGTGTCATCGACGTCGATCGTCGTCGTCGTCGTCGTCGGTCGTCGCCGTCGACGACCGTCGTCGTCATCGTCAATTACCGTCGCCAACCACCGTCGCCGATCGTCGATCGCCCTGGAACCTTCCCCCCCCACTCCTCCTCCCCTCCTCCTCCTCCTCCTCCTCCTCCTCCTCCTCCTTCTCCTCTTCCTCTTCCTTCTCCTCCTCCTCTTCCTTCGCCCTCTCCGTCTCCTCCGCGCGGAAGAAATCGAACAACATGTCGCGCAAATGACGAACTGTGGCCCTCTGGGCCTTTCTGAGTGTCCTCAGAGGGCCCTTTTGGCGCGTCGTCGCACAAGAACACCGCCTTCGCGTCCGGCTCCTCGGGCGTGCCGCACGCCCATGCATTGCGCCTCGTCCGGCCGCCGGCGCGGTACAGATGGTTCTTGCCGCTGTCCGTGTTGAAGACGCCGGAGTGGGGCGCCAAGACTGCCGTGCCCGGCGCGCGACGGACGCGGGCGGCCCCGGCCGCGCTCTGCACCCTTGCGCGCTTGACGGCCGAGGGGCCTGCGCCGCTGGGCGCTGCCGCGGCGCCCGCGCTCGTCTCCGCGGGGGGGCCCCTGGGGGCCGTCGTCGCCGCGGGGCCCAGGCTGACCTGCTTCAGGGGGCGCGGCGCGGGGTGGAGGGCGCCACTGCGCGCGGATCCAGCGCCCCCGCTGCCGGGGTGCCTGGGGCAGGTGCCGGCGCGCACCCCTCTGGGACTGGTTTCCACCCAGCATTGACGGCCGACATGATGGGGGACTTCGCCGCCAGCTCGGCGACGCAAGCCGCTGAATCGCAGCGTCGGGGCATGCCCGAATTCGGCGCCCAGTGCCCCACATCGTCGAGCTGTTGGTCAGGGGGCTGCAGCTGCCTCCCGAGCGTCGGGCACAGGTGGAGCCAGCTGTGCGGGGTAAAAATGATGGCCTCCATGACGCGCATGCCGCCCATGATCAACAAGCTACGCATGACCGCCGCCACGTCCGAATACTTCGCGACCCTCCCCTTGAAGCCGCGTAAGTCCAGCGTTAGCGCGCCCAGGAGGTAATCGGGGCCCGGCAGGCCAGCCTGCGCCAACTCTGCCAGCCACTGGCCGCCACAGTCCTTCCCAGAAACACCGACGCGAAGGGCTGCCCAAGGGACTCGCCGAGACCGGCGTTTCATCTTCCAGCTGACCTCGACCACGGCGTCATCGGTCAGGTGGATGTTGTCGCTGTGCTGCGCGTCGGCGCAACGGAGGCAGCCATGCGCCAAGAGCGCGCAGAACCCCGCATACACGCGGAGCAGAGAAGATTGCGCGTTGAAGACTGCTGTCCCCATCTTCCCCAGCATTTCCAGGGAAAGGCAGGGCGCCTGGGCCGGCATGGCGGCCGGAGCCGCTCCAGCAGCTGGCGGGGACACTGCGCCTTGACCAGAGGAGCTTTGGTTGGCCATTCGAAGCCGGCTGCGTTGGCAAGCCAGCGAGGGTCAGCGCCGGCTTGCCGCGAGCTTGGTGCCGCTCCGCCTGCAGCTAAGCGGCGACGCCCCACTCGGAGATGTCCTTGAAGCCCCAGGAGACGGCCAAAACGTGCTTCACCAACGCCTCGGCGCCTCGGCTGAGGTTGGCAGCATTCGTGATGAGCAAGACAGGCACGTCAGGCATGAGCAAGACGCGGCCCTCGTCGAGGGGCGACGTCAGGCATGAGCAAGACGTCAGGCATGAGCAACGTCAGGCATGAGCGAGACGCGGCCCTCGTCGAGGTGCGTTTCGGCCTGACCGCCCCGGTGTAGCTGGGAGAGTCGCGGTGCCCGGTCGCCGAGGCAGTAGACGAGAGCCAAGCCCAGATCAACCGCGGCCTCCAGCCTCTTGTCTTCCTCGGCTTGAAGCGAACCAGCGCTGGCCACAGCGTGACTTGGGGAATCTCCGCCGATGGCCGCTCTCACCGCGCGCCTCTCGGCCTCTCTGACCTGGCGTTCGGAAGGCAGTCGCGCAATCCGCTTGGGCGCGGCTTTCGGGCGCGATGGCAACAATGTGGTCGGCACCGTTGGCACGCGCTGCCTGCCCACGCGTTCCATGGACACCTGCCGCTGCACCCAAGGGGTCAAGATCGCCCTGGACCTGACGACCGCCTCGGTGAGCAACGCGTACCCCCTGACCACACAGACTCCAAGAATGCAGTTGGGATGTGCCAGAGGGAGAATACCGCCTCGGGCGAGGGCACCCAAGTCCGTGGGATCTTGTATGCCCTCCTGCAGCAAGCGGCGCCCTAGCGCCAAGACGGCAGCCTGACCTGCGCCGGCCGACTCGTCACAGCGGCGCAGAAACTCTAGCAACACATCCTCCTCAAGCGCCTGGCGGCCGTGCGAAGACAATGCTCCGACGGCCGCCGAACCCAACCCGCGAAACTGTCGCTCCGGAGAAGACGGCTCACCGTGCCCAAGGATGTCTGGTGAAGCATCCGCTCCACCGAGCGGGGTGACGGCGTGTGCCGACCCGAGCAAGGATGCACTTGGACCAGACGGCTTCGGCGCGGACCCCGTGCGTTCCCCTGGCAAGCGCACCCTGCTCTCAATGCTCACTGCAGCCCCTTCCCTGCCCTCGCCAGCAGGACCCAGTGGGCCCGACCGCCGCACACATTGAGATGGACCTCCGACCCCGCCTGACCACCTACGATCTTCACAGAACTTATCACAACACGACAGCAGATCATAGCGACTGCGAACACGACTGAACACAACATGACACAACATAACATGCCAGAACAGAACACGCGCATGACAGAACATGTCAGAGCATAACATAGCAATGCCAGGACAAAATGGAGCATAACATAACATCACATAACATACCAGAGCAGAACATGACATAACAGAAGACGACAGAACACAACAGAAAGGACAATAACAGAGCATAGCATAACAAGCCTTGACATAACAGATCATGCCATGACGCAACATCACATAACATACCATATTACGACGGCAGAGCAGAGCGACACATAATAGCAACGCGTATCATACTATATTACACAGGGCCGAACCGTCAACAATCAGAAAATCACAGAACGTACCATAACATAACATTACATAACAGAAGGCGACATACCACAACACAACACAACAGAGCCGAACATAAAATAACGCACCGTGACAGACCAAAGCAAATCATGACACAACATCACATACCACTTCGTAATACGACAGCAGACCTTAGCGACGACGAACACGACTGAACACACCATGACGCAAGATAACATAACATGACAGAACATAACACGAGCATGACATAGCATAGCAATGACATGACAAAGTAGAGCATACCATAACATCACATACCATGCCATAACAGAATATGCAATGCTAGAAGACGAAAAAACGCAACATAACATAACATACCCATGCATAACACAACACACCTTGACAGAGCATACCATATCATGACACAACATCACAGGACATACCATATTACGACGGCAGAGCAGAGGAACACAGAATAGCAGCGCGTATCATACTATATTACACAGAGCCGAGCCGTCCGCAAGCAGAACATCACAGAACGTACCAGAGCAGACCATGACCAAACTGACGACATCACACAGCATAACAGAGCATAGTCGAGCATATCATAACACACCTTGGCATAGCAGCATACCATTTCAGGACAGCATCACAGAACATATCATACCACGACAGCGAATCGTAGCGAAACATACTAGCAGATCGCATCATACTTTAATATACTGAACCGAGCTGCCAACAGCATCACGGAACAGAGCAAACTATATCATAACCTGACAGAACATATCAGTCATCACATACTTCCACAGAGCAGATCAGACCACAACATATCAAAACATATGGTGGCAGATATGAACATGCCATAACATACACAGTCATAAGAGACACATCGAAATTCAGAGGAACATCTTAACAGACGACGCATCCAACGTTACAGGCATTACGACGTCACGCAGGCCCGTCGAGAACATAACAGGACATAATACAACATAACATGAAAAAAACGTGACTACACGGAACACGGTTGAACCGTTTTTTTTATTTAGAAACGGCAGTTGTGCGGTGGTGAGGGGAGGAGGAGGACAAGTAGGGCGGAAACGTCCGCCTTACCTCCCTCCTCCTCTTCCTCCTCCTCCTTCGTCGTCCGCCTCCTCCTGTTCGTCCTGCTGATGCTCTTCCTCTTCCTCTTTCAACAGGCTGCGGCTCTCTATCCGTTTCGCACCGCATGTTTGCGAAGCTTGTTTTTTCGCCCTGGGGTTTCTTTCAGCTTCTTTCGTCAGGAGCTCTGGGGTTGTTGGATTTGGAGACAACGGAATTCGCCACCCGGCCCGAACGCCGCACTGGCCGAGACCACAGGGCCCCGCGCGCAGCGTTCCACCAATTAGGCGACTGTTCGCCGTCGGGAACAAACGCTTAAGGTTTCGGTGGGAATCGCTCGAAACAGCATCATTTTTGCACGTTGTTTCTCCCCCTCTCTCCCTCTCTGTGCCCGTCGCCTGCCGCAGCGGGTTGCGCTTCGACATGTCGGTGATGATGGAGGGGCCCGAGTCGAACACGAACTCGCCCCCGCCGCGGGCCCTCCTGCGGAGGGAAGAGAAAAAACGGGGGATAAGGGCGGAGGGAGGAGCCGGAATCGTGGAGGGGGGGGAGGGGAAGAGGGAGGAGAGAAGGGGAGAGGAAGCAAACATAGAAGGACGAAAAGGAGGAGGAGGAGGAGGAGGAGCAGGAGGAGGAGGAGGAGCAGGAGGAGGAGGAGGAGGAGGAGGATGAACAGTGGGATGATAAAGAAATGGAGAGAAAGAGGGGGGCAGAGGAGGACGAGGAGGAACGATGAGGAAGAGGAAGGGGAAGGGGGGGATGAAGAATTTGCCGGGAGGAACAGGCGGACGATGGAGGGAACCGCGTCCACCACGACTGAACCCTCAGTGGGTTTGCTTGTGGGTTCCGTGCCTACCCTGCCCTGCTACCCACCCGCCGGCCCTCCCTCCACTGCCTCGCCCACACCACTTTCCCTCCACCCACTGTTTCATTTCCTCTATTCATCTCCTTCTTTCCCCGCCCCCACCATGTTATCCCCCTGCCTGCCTCTCCCTCCCTCCCACCACCTCCCCCCCTCCCCTTCTTCTATCTCTCTATCCCTCTTTCTCTCTGTCTCTCTCTATCCCTCTCTCTCGCTTTCCCTCTCTCTCTCTCTCTCTTTCCATCTCTCTCTCTCTCTCTTTTTCTCTCTTTCTCTCTCTCTCTCTCTCTGATTATCTCGCTCTTTCTCTCTCTCTCTCTTTCCCTCTCTCTCTCTCGCACCACCATCGGCACGCGGGCGGGCAGGTCGAGGCCTGGCCGCGCGCGTACAGCGTGTGCCCAGCGGGGGCACGGCAGCCTCTCGCCACCAGCCCGCGCATCGAGGCGACCTGCTCGCAAGCCAAGCCGCCAGGCACTCATCTTTTGGACGAATAACCGACAGCGCCGTTCGAGCCCAAATGGCGACGAGGACCCAAGACAGGGCACCGACAGGAGCGAGCGCCATCCGAGACCCGCATGGGTCGCAGAAGCCACGCACACACCACTCCCGCGGGGACGGCCCGACCCACCCAGGAGCCCAGACCAGAGATCCCAAACAACGCACTCTCGGAACCCCAGAGGGGTTGCCAGAGTGCCCCCAGGACGGCCCCGAAACGGCCGAGAAACCCGAGCCGCATCCAGCAGGGCCGACGACGCCTCAGAGTGCCGTTCCAAAATGGCCAGGCACCTAAGCGCACTCCCACTCGCACTACCTGCCGCGCTTAACCTCCTTGAGCTTCGCCAACAGACCAGGACGTCGCTCAGCGCGAGACTGCTGCAACACCGCCTTGAGCTGAGCAGCGCAGGCCAGTCGGTACCTCAGGCAGGCCCCAGAGGTGCGCCAGTCCCGCCAGTGCCACTGGATGCACCTGGCGGCAGCCAGCCTCCTGCTCACGTCCACGCGCGTGGCCGCCTCCACGTGCCCACGGAGGACCATGAGACGGCGGGCAGGCGAGACGACGGGCTGCCCCCCAGCAGGAGCGTCGTCCCTCAGCAGGGCGGCGGACTGCACCAGGCACTCCGCGTCGGGCACAGCGTCGGTCTGCAGCTCCTTGACCGTGCCACCCCTCCTACCAAAGTTGACCGAGTCGGCAGCGCAGGCCACGCCGACGGCACGATGACCATCTCGAGCTCGGCCCTCGTCGACACGGCGAGCACGAGCCCCAACATGCCCCCCCCCCCCCGAGGGGCACCGTGAAGATCGTCATGATATTCCGCCTCAGCCTCCAGCGCATCCGCAGCAGCATGACGACCGCCAAGACCTTCCCCCTCGCACTCCAGCACATCCTCGAAGTCGTCGCAGTCGCCTCCCGAGACGCCGCCCTCAGGATCGAAAACGGGCAGGTCGTCCTCGTCGCCGATGCCGCTCTCCACGCTCACGCCGCCAGACTCCCGCCCAGCAGCTCCAGGAGCAAGGTGTCCACCCTCCCCGACGTCCTGCACAGCACCGCCATGAGGACCAGCAGGGACGGCGTCGGACTCCAGGTTGGTGTCGCACCTGCCGAGCGTCTCGGCCTCCCACGCCCACCAGCGCGCCCCGCTCATCACCGGTGGCGACGACAGCGCCGGGGGGGGGCTCACCTGCCCGCGCGGCGCCGCAAGCACCCTGGGCGGCGGTGCAGAGGCGTCGCGGCACGCGGCGCCTGCAGAGGGAGGCGGTGCGCTGCGCGCAGCGCGGCCGCGCCTCGACGCCACCTCCTCCCAGGCGGTAGGCGCCGCGTCGTACGCCGAACGAGCCGCTGGCAGCCGCCGATGCAGCGAAGGCCACCTCCACGGCGGTCTGGGCCTCCGCAGCTGTACCGCAGCCCTGCTGCGCCTCCCCCGCCTGGGTGCGCGCCTCGCTTCACGCTGAACTCGATTGAGCTCCTGTTGATGCATCGCCCGCACGTCCGCGGCGGGGAACGCGGGCTGGTGGGAGACCACGCTGCGCCTGCCCACCTCCATGGCGCTCGCGTCCGTGCCTGCGATGTCCGCCTCCAGCACGGGCGCGACGAGCCCCACTCGCTGCACGAGCTCAGCCGCCACGGCTTTCGGCTCGGGAGCACCGCCTGCGGCCCCCACGCCATCGGCCGCGGCCCCGCCGCTCGCAGGGGCAGAGGCGGCGCAGGAGGCAGCCAGGGCCGCGGCCTCGCCCGCCGCCACCGCGTGGCGCAGGTCGGCTTGCAAGCCCTCCACGAGCGCCTCGAGGTCGAGCACGCGCCGCAGCGCCACCGCCAGGCGCCCAGCCGCCGCCCCACGGGCAGCGCCCTGCCTGGCACGCCGCGTCGGCCACGGCGACGGCGCAGCCGCTGTAGCCTCTGGGAACTCCGCCGCCGCATCGGCCGCCCTGGTCCCGCCCGCAGCCATCCCCTGGGGAGCCATCGCACCGCGGCAGAGACCCAACGCTGCCGCCCGCCTGGCGCCCAAGCAGGCATGAGCCAGAATGGCTACGGACTCTTTCCCTCTATATATGTGTGTCTCTCTCTCTCTCTCTCTATATTCCTCTCTCTGTCTCTTTCTCTGTCTCTCTGTCGCTGTCTCTCTCTTTCTCTTTCTCTCTCTCTATATGTTGTTTCTCTCTCTCTCTCTCTCTCTTTCTGTCTCTTGTTCTGTCTGTGTCTCCCTCTCTGACACCCACCTCCCCTCGTCCACCCGCCCTGACCACCCCAGCATGCGCGGCCAAACGCCCTCCACCGCTGGTCTCGACGTGCACTGCGCGCTGGCGCCACTCGGCGCGACCACCTGGACTTTGCGGGCCTTCCTCGGGAGACTTCCCCAGGCCGCCGCCCGCCCACCCGCTTCTCCCGAGCCCCGTCCGCGAGGCTCCCTCAGGCCGTCGCCCATGCCGTTACCTCTGGCACGGATGCGCGTCCCACGCCACAGAGGCAGGGGCTGGGGCTCCGCTCCCAGGGCCCCCCAGCAGCCGACCCTCCACTGCCTCCGAGTCCATCTCCGCCGACTCCGCCCTCACCCACCCCAGCCATGGACAGGGATGACGAGGATGAAGAAGAGGCCCTCGTGGTGGCGGGTTCCGTGCGACTCGGTCCACCCCTACGGCTACTCGCCTTCAGCCGTGCCCGTCGACCACGGCCCCGCGCCGTGGGTTGCGCCTTTCATAGTCACGTTGTGCACGGTTGCCCTTGGTGCACCCTGTCTGGACGCTCTGCCTGGGTCGGCCGTCGAGCCGAGCCCCTGGACCACCACCAGGAGGAGGAAGATGAGGAGGTTGTCGCTTCCACAATCATTCCCCTTCCATCTCACACACACACATATACACACATACACTGGGCCTCCGCCATCGCTGGGGACGAGGGTACAAGACCCTACGCCCTCCCTCACTCCTACCCGCCATCCACGCGCATTCAGGACGCCCACGCGGCTGGGCCATCGAACCCAGGCCGTGGCGGAGACGTCCCCAACCCGCTGCCTACTACTCAAAACCTCCGCCAAGAAATCCCGCGCGGCCTCCACAACTCACGTCGCCCTCGCAGCGGCGTGATGCGCCGGACACCACTGCGGCGAGCCCGCTACGAGCACGCGGGGGTCGTCTAATCTTCACCCGCCCCCCAAGCGCTGGAGGAGGAGCGCCAAGAGCAGCAACCCGCCGCCGACTCCCGCATCGATGCTTGCATCGACGCGTGCGCCTTCGACTTCAACGGCGCTTGCACCGACGGCGCCACAGCATTGACACTCTCATCGACGCTGGCATCATCGGCTCCTGCATCGACGACTGCACCGACGATCCCGTCGGCCGCAGCATCGACTTCTCCTGCACTGTTGTCCCCGTCGCTATTGTCGTCTCCGACGCTACCTGCACTGGGGCTGCCACTCGTCAGAGAGCCCCCTCCGCAGAGGCCGCTGCCGTCCGCGCCGATGGTCCCACCGACCCGCCCGCCCCGGCTGCGATACAGGTCTCTCCCCATCCCTGGCCTGCACAGGCCACGGGAACGCGGGGGTCCGCGGACGACGACGACGACAACGACGACGACGCCGACGACGAGGATGACGACGAGTATGAGGACACCCACATCCCCCCACCGGACAGCCCTAGCTGCCCCAGCAGGCACGGCCAAGCACCCTCCGCCGCTGAACTCGACGCGCACAGAGTGCTGGTCACTCCGCCGCTGGCCCCTCCCTCCGTTCATCCCCGTCCCCCACCCTCCCCACCCCGGCCTCCCCCCCTGCCTGCCTCTCCCTCCCTCTTCCCTCTCTCTTTCTCCCTCTTTGCCGCCCACCTCCCCTTGCCCGCCCGCCCTCACCACCCCAGCATGCACGGCAAGCGCCCATTCGAATAGAACCCTGCAGTAGCTGGACCCAGCTCTAATCGAATCCCACCATAGCTGGACCCAGCTGTTATAGCATCCTAGTCGGGCTGATAGAATCCAGCTATGGTTGGACCCAACTCAACTTGAATCCTACTTCGGTTCGATCCAGCTCGAACTGAGTCCTACTACAGCAAGATCCTGCTCCAATTGAACCCTACCAA